TTAGAATGAGGGTGGAGGAGAAGGGAGAAGAGAAGGAAGTGGAGGTGGAGGAGAAGCATTTTACTGCTTCTTGGAAGGTGAGTCACCTTCCATGAAAATGTCTGGAACCTCTGGACTGACAGATTCTCCACCATGAACATCCTCTCTCCTTCTTGAAGTGGAAGGCTGAGGGATAGCATCTTGTTCCCTCCGACTTTTACTGAAGAAAGTGTCAATTGTGGTCTGTGGGGCATCTCTCCTCCTCACCATTAACTTATGTTTAAAGAAGGAGACCACTGAGTCCTCAACATGACACAATGTTTGTTCAGTTTTTTCCACATCTAGGTGCTTTGAAGCCAGTTCCCTTAACTTCTCCCAGTGGTAAATCACATCTTTCAACCCTTTAGTTGACATATGGTCATCACTTTCAATTTCCTCCTCACCACTGTCAGCCCAATGACTGACCAGTGGACACAATCTCCTGGTACAACTCTGTGTCATCCTCAAATCCCTCAAAATCATGGACTACTGATGGCCACAGTGCTTTCCATGAAGAATTGAGGGATCTAGTGGAGACTTCTTGCCATGATGACACAATCAATTTTACAGTCTCCAGGATGTTGAATTGTGTCTTCCAGAACTGTTTCAGTGTTAGTTCAGGATCATTGGAAGTTGCCTGATGACACCTCTAAACATTTTCTTCATGTACAAATTCTTGAAGTTGCTGATCACATTCTGGTCCATTGGCTGTATGATTGATGTAGTGTTTGGAGGCAAAAACAACAATTTCACAAAGTCAAATTGATACTCCAAATTTCTGGCAAGTTCAGGGTCATGACCAGGAGCATTATCCATGAGAAGAGCCTTTAAAGGGAGTTTAATGGTGGTTAGTAAGCTCTTGACAGAAGGGCAAAACACATCAACAGCCCATTCATTAAAGAGCTGTCTTGTCACCCATGCCTTACGGTTGGACTTCCAATAAACTCCAAGCTTTGTTCTTACCACTTTCTGTTGCTTGAACACCCTGGGGTTTTCAGAGTGGTAGACAAGCATAGACTTCAGTCGGAAATCCCCTGAAGCATTGGCACCAAGCAATAGAGTGAGACGGTCATTCATGGGTTTATGCCCAGGTAAAGAGGCTTCATCTCTGGTGATGAATGTTCTTTTGGGCATCTTTTTCCTGAACAGCCCAGTTTTGTCCACATTGAACACTTGCTGTGGAATATAATTTTCTTCTTCCATCAGTTCTTAAAATTCAACTAAAAACTTTGCTGCCCCTTCCTTATCAGCACTAGCAGCTTCACCATGCCTAATAGCACTGAAAATGTCACTTCTTTTCTTAAATTTTTCGAACCAGTCTTTGCTGGCCCGAAAATCTTCAAATTCTGTGCCTGAAGAACCAGGTTGATCTGTCTTTAAATGTTCATAAATCTCCCTGGCTCATTCACAAATGAATTCAGTAGAAACTGAATCACCTTTCATCTGTTTTTCCCGAATCCAGATGAGAAGTAACCTCTCAGTTTCTGCAATTAGGGATCTACTTTTAAACACTCTTGTAGATTTGTCTCTCACTTTCACTTCTTTAAATTTGTCTTTTTGTGCAAGAGTTGTCAACACAGTTGATGTCGACATGCCATATTCTTTGCATAGCGCATTTGTTCTAATGCCTTCTTCATGTTTATTTTTATAATTTCCTGCTTGGTTTGGATTGAAATCGCTTTTCTTGATCTCTTAGGCCCCATGCTGGATTCAAACACTGTCAACACGTGTTTTTTAAAGTTAAAGTAACTGTAAATAAAGAATATTTTCTTTAAAATAACACTGCACTGCGCTATATATTGTCAATATGTAAAATAAATTTCAAAATGACCAATAATTTGCTTGGAAACACACACAAAAAAAAGGGTTTAGTTGAAGAGAGTCTCAAGCAAGATGTTACCTCCACTGAAAACAGAGAGAGACTAACGCTTGTTTGCTGTGTTAAGAGGCTGGATGACGCTCATAAAACTAGTCACTTTACCTTCAATTATGTTCAATAATTGTTAAAATGACTAAAAAATTTAATATTAAACTTTTAAAATTATTGAATAGTATAAACTTCTTGATATTTACTAAAATAGTAAGGAATTTAAGCCCTAGAACCGATTAATGTATTAGCGGACTAATACTAAAGCTGGTTGACAGCCCAGTGCAAGCAAAAACTCGTCGAGGTTGGCTCATAAGAAACTCGTTAACCGAAGTTAAGAATCTTATGGGAGGTAACTCGTTAACCGAAATCTCGTTAACCGAGGGACCACTGTACACATACTTTATATTGTAAATAAACAAAATATACTAAACTCCTGTATACTGTACACTATAAACACTCCCGGTTAAGGATGGGTTCTGTTCCTGGAGGCTATCCATAAGCCAGAAGTGACCCTTCCATTGGTAGTCAGTGAAAACACTTAGTACACATAATGGACTGTACGTATATACAATTACTATACAGTACAGGTATGGGACCATTTATCCATCAAGGTTGAGGCCTGAGGGTTGCCTGATACAGGAAGGGTTTTTTCCTGAAACTGGCTGTAAAGAACACTAGATTCACCCCTTAAAGTAGCACTAACTGTGACTGTCTACCCTCAAGTTCGTGCTTTATTAATAAAGTACTAACGCACGAACTTGAACATTTTTAATAAATTTCTTTCTGATTATTTGTGAGAGAATTTTCCCATTATTATTTATTTGGATGCATTTTGTGTGTGTCTACACACAAAATGTATACAGTACCTGTATTTACAATACAGATAAAGGAAATTACTGTCTCTAGATCGAATGGCTCCGTCCCAGGCGCGAAAATGACGGCAACTTTAAAGCTACCCACAGACATTCTTGGGTACATCCAGCGTGTCATCCACGAACGATAGAGGCCCGTGAAATAAAAATCCGCGAATTTAGGGGCCCCCTGTACAGTATGTAAATCCAAAATGACGAGTTTAAAATACTCTATACCTTATGATAAATACCAGAACAATACAGTATTTCTTTTATTTTTTCATTTTCTGTATGTAAGATTCAGTGTTTATGTAACTAAGAAAAAAATAAAAAATAAATAAATAAAACATCTATCTACCCAACATAACGAGATAAAAAATAACCATAACATAACACTGAGCTCACAGGTTGGAAATATCACCATTCAACTCGGGAATTACTGGTGTTCATATTAAACAGGACTTCTGGGAGAGGATCCGTAATGTTGCAAATCCGATAAGTTAAAAATCCACAACTCAAGTCATCTGTAACCCAGGGAGTGTCTGTACAGTATTGGAAAGTTCCGGGGATTGAATACTCTGGCTATCGGTGACATTACTGTACTACACTGCATTTGCTCAAATAAACTAATGTATTTTTCTTTACAATCACTTTAATATTTGCTCATGCACTTTCTTCTATCTTCATTCTCTAATATTTGCCAAATTTCATCTGATTTGCATACTCGTGCAGTCATCTGAACACAGCAGCTCATTTGCCACCCATTTACACCCCTCTCCATTATTCTAACTTCCATTTCTTACTACTGTGGAGGAGGTATGTACTAGAATCATAAAGAAGAGAGGAGGTATGCTTGGATTTTTGTGGTAGTTTTAGTGTATTGTGCCCACCTTATAATTAAACTAAAAATTTAATTTTTCATATTTAAAGAAAAATGCATAACTTTAAACTCCACCTCTAAGTGACATTGCCAAGTCTCCACCTACCCCTACCTTGCCATTCATCACCTCCCTGCCTGCCGAGTGCTTTTGTCCACAACTGTACCTTGTACACTTTGGACCAGAGTCCCACGAACACAATTTCCCGTCCCCATTGCAAATATCCTGAAGTTGCCATGAGCCATATATCACCAACAGCAATAATTCACCCTTAGAAATTTAATAGTTGCTCAATTACCTCACAAACACCATTGAGGAAGAAGGTTTTCGGAATGTGCATCACACAACTGTGAGAGCTGTGTCTGGTAGATGCAATTTTGATGAAATGAGTAATACAGAGGAATATGATGATGATGAAGTTTAGTTTGAATCTATAAACAATCTGCCAACATAAGCAGATGTTGAGAAGACCTACAGTAGTGGCCCAAACTACCATACCTCAAAGGAATCAAAAAGAAACTGTAGCGCCTAGACAATATTTTTTTCTATGTTTGAAGGCTTCTAACATCATTGTTTAATTAATTAATACTGCCAATTTTGCGAGGGAGCGTTTAAAAAATCTTTCCGCTGAGGGACATAAAAAAGACTAAGTTTAGGACCGAAAGGGTTAGGATAAATATATGAAATAAGCATCTAATCTCTTGTAAGTGCTGATTGAACAAATTTTTTCCTCGTGTAATTTAATCCCTCTGCACCTTAAAACAATACGAGGTAATCTGATCTTACCGGCATCCTGGTAATGTAATACAGCAAGTATATGTAGAAACAGAACAAAAGTAGTTATTTCAGCTTCTAACCAATATAATAATAATAATAATAATTAACGGTTTATTGAAAGAGTTTGGCAGCAGCAACAAGACTGAAGGAGTTGGTTAAAACTGGAACTGAACTCTGGTCAAGCTCTCAATGACTGGGCTTAATAGGGAACACACTAGATATATAAACAAAAAATATTAAGGCTTTCACCATGGATATGTTAAGTTCCATGTCTGCAAGAGGTAAGTAATATCATCATTTAAACTGCCCTCTTTAAAAATATCACTCCCCATTGTTTTGTTGCATTCTGATACTGCTATGTCACAGGCTTATAAGGATTTAATCATCCATGCAGATAAATTAAACACAATGAATGACTACTTTACTGCTGCATACTTTGGAGAGAATGAAATTGAGCACAACGATTTGTATCCTGGGGAACCCATAATTTGAATTTCAAAAGTGCTGTTGTCTAAAACTATATGAATCTTGGCACATTATTAGAAGGTAAGAACACAAACTGCTCTAGTTTTAATAACAAAGAGGATAATGCTTAAGAGAACATACCTGCAGTTCCCACTCCAGTAGTTAATGTTATGATATTCCCAGTTTGCCTCTCGTTTTCCTTGATTGGGGGAAGAAGAATGGTTGTGGTTTCTTCAGTATTATTTGTTCCTAGGTGTGGCATCGCTTGCACTAACTGTGCTTTTTGTACCACTTGCCCAGAACAAGGTATAACAGTGTCAGCAGAACCCGGTGTAATTCCAGATAAGCAATTATATGATATTTGGTTTTGTGGAGCGGAGCAGACCAAAGATGTTGAGGTAGGACCAAACATAATATTGGCATTGCTTGAAGATACATTCTGCATGGGTGCTAGATAAAGTACATCTGTGCCTTCTTTAACATGATACGAGGCATCATAGGTACTTAGTGGAGTAAGTTCAGTTAGAGTATATCCCTCCTGTTCCATATCAGAGGGGGCCTTACAAGGTGACACAGATGTGGCAATCCCTGGTATTGTAGTACTCTTTACAGGAATGGTACTTGCTGGTACCATATTTAAAAGACCCATGTTATTTTCATAAGTTATAGAAGGTTCAAGAATTTGCAAGTTTTCATTACATGGCTGAACATGCAAAGGTTCAGGTATAGGTAAGGTTCCCTGAAGTGAATCTGTGCCTTTTTGTGAGATTTCTCCTGCCAGTGTGTTTGGTATAAAATTATTACCAGTCTTAGTTGGACTAGTTGAAGAAAGTGGACTACATATAATCACTGATGCAGATGCTGCTTCAGTCCGCACAGATGTGGCAATCCCTGGTATCGTAGTACTCTTTACAGAAATGGTACTTGCTGGTACTATAGTTAAAAGACCCATGTTATTTTCATAAGTTACAGAAGGTTCAAGAATTTGCAAGTTTTCAATATATGGCTGAACATGCAAAGGTTCAGTTGGTGGTACAGGTAAGGTTCCCTGAATTGATTCTGTGCCCTTTTGTGAGGTTTCGCCTGCCAGTGCATTTGGTAGAAAATTATTACTATTATTAATTGGATTAGTTGAAGAAAGTGGACTAGATATAATCTCTGATGCAGATGCTGCTTCAGTCTGCAAATCCCCATCAACTGTCAAGACCCTGTGACTAGTAGGAGCAGCAGACTGCACCTGGGGTTCTTGAGCTGCATGTGCAGGATCTTCCATCGGAGTCCCACAAAAAGGCACACCTCTAGGACTATTGTTGACAGAGGCAAGTGAGTATAGTTCCCCTTCTGTACCAGAAGCTTGAACTTCTGTACCACTTGAATTAAATCTCTTATCACATTTTGTAGAATCTGTTTTATTAGTGTTCCCACCACCTTCACTTTCACTAACTTTATCAGGTCGTGAGGACTGAAAGTCAAAAAATTCTTGAAGTAGCTGTTCTCCAAGATATTTTTCATCCTCCTTCTTTTTGGACTTTGATTTCTTTTTCTTTTTAGATTTAACCTTTTCTGATAAAGATACACTTGCTGCCAGATTTTCTGAAGTAAAAGATTCTTGAGTGTCAGTGATAACAGGTGAGCCAGATTTGGTGTCCGTAGTGCTGGTGCCACATGCTTGCTCACTGTAAAATTGGAAAATACATGTAAGAATTTTTACGTATTATCTAAATCTAAGATATTTATTACATCTATCAAATGCCTCTCCTTTCCTCTCAATTTTCTTCAAAGGATCAAAGAATTCATAAATCTTATGAAAAAGTGTGTTGGAGTGGAGTAAAAAATGACAAGAAAGTGTTGAAACACCAAACAATATTCCTTCACTTTAGAAACACATTTAAGACACCAAAAATGATAACAGGTGTCGCATGTTGCAAGAATCAAACATGCAACACAACAATAAGATTCTCAGTATTGTACCTGGTTTCAGGATTCTTGTTTTCAGGTAGTGTGTTCTGTTGAATAGAGTTTATGGTACCATCTTGAGTGGCAGCCAACTGTAAACTTTTGGCGGAACTCCTCGTTACCCGACCCACCGTAACCACCGAGTCGTTAGTTTGCATCTTCGTTTGCTTTTTCTTTGAGGGAGTCTTTGAAGGCACATGTGAAGCATTGTTAACAGGCTGTAATGAAGCAAGGCGGGATGGAGAAGAAGCCACTGGGGACTGCACCGATTGAGTACACCCTAGACTTGCAGTTTCTGATACTGAAGGATCACTAACTGCATCACACGGAGACGGATGAACATATGAGGCAGGTAACACATGAGATGAGGATGAAGAGTCGATCGTGTCAGAGGCAGGTGGTAAATTAAGTGATTGAGAGTTAGAGGAAAATAGTGGTATGATATGTTGGGATGCCACTGTTGATGTCAATGTAGGAGGTGGTGGAACAGGTGTAGAAAGAGGTCTTGAAGGTGGCAAGGAGGTGTCTGGTACACAGCTTTGGCTTGACTGGGACGTTCCACTGCTTTTCATCGGGGCTGCAGGAGGTGTGCAGCTCCCTGGAAATGAAGTAAAAAGTGCCAACCACATAAAAAAATTACAATTAACAATATTCTATTATACTTCATTTCACGGTAAACAAGTACCGTTCCACTATTTAGCATAACAAGCTACAGCAACTTACCAAATACTTCACCGAGAAAACTCTCAAAAACTGGATCTGCTGTAGTTTCAGAGATGATACCAGTGACAATGTGATCAAACTCCTTGAGGGCAGCCATGTCCCCAGCTCCACTCAGTGAGGATTCATCCCCTGAGCTTTTATGTCTACCAATAACATCAGCAACTCCCTTGGCACTGTTATTACATACAAATTTGCTTCTCTTGTTATCATCTTTATAACAACTAGTACCACCATCGATGACAGCACAGGCGTCTTCACCATCACCACTGGTTTTACTCTGGCAACCCAGACTCCGATTAATGTTCTCTGCTATCTTCTCATGAAGTGCTGTGTTTTCAAACAAGTTTTTAAGTAATTTCTGAAAGTATGAAAATAAGGCATTAATTAGAAATAAGTAACAATAACAAGTACAGTAAAGCCGCGAATAACGACGGTAATGTGTCCTCCAATATTGCAGTGTAAGGTGAATCATTGTATCATGAATTATTAATTACCATTAAAATAAGCAATAATAATGAGATGCATTCCCCAGTGTGACCTTTTCATAACTTTTTACCCTCTTTTCCCCCAAAACAATTCGATTAATGAAAATGCAAATTATATTCTTTAAATAATGTTTATGAATGGTCCTTATACAATATAAATCAATAATAATAAGATCACACAAGAGGAGATGGGACGCTATTGTTGTTGTCGTGTTAACACCCATAATGTCAGTTATCCATGTGAAACAAGAAAATAAGACCCTGGTTGTTGCTACAGTAAAATTAATAATACAGTATAGTCTCGATTTAAGCGGATTTGGTTTACGCGTTTGGTAATTTACGCGGCACCTTGCCAGACCGAAAATTTTTATTTGCAAGGTTCATTCCATCATTTACGAGGAAAGCGGCGCAGGCAGGGTGCGCACAAGGTCGCCCAGTCAACAAAACATTACCAAGTTCTTCACCTGCAGCCCACCACAGCCGGCCCAAGTCAGTGATAGTGAGGATATGGACTTTGAGGGGTTTGACAAAGAGGCCCTGAAAGCCTCTGTGGTGGATAGTGATACAATTGATACAAGTGATACAGGTGAGGGCCAATAATCTGCCCTCTACCTCGGAACCAACCCCCTATCCCCGTGTGCCCAGCCATCTTTTCTACTAACGTAAGTGTTAAAAAACCTAATATTATTGATATTTCTCTTAAATATTAATTGTGTGTGCATACCATCATAAAATTAAGATTTTATTTTTACTACAACGTAGGTATTGTGTCGGAAAAAGTGTAGTTTGGGGGTCGGCCCAGTCTCTATTTCAATTAATCCCATATGTTCTGTTATTCCGTTTACGCGTTTCTCGTTTTACGCGGACCTCCACGAGTTCAATTGAACGCGTAAATGAAGACTATACTGTATGTTTGCTTTAATTAATGTTATTTAATGCACAGTAAAAGTAACCATTGATGTTAAAGAAAAAAAAAGAGAGTGATAGTGGAACGGCAATGTATACTTTCACCCTCAAGGAAACAGCTTCTTTTATCTTATTAAGAATATGTACAAAAGATTCATTAATGTTTATTACTGAATATGTATTTGATTGAATTAATTATTATATATAGTGGGGTATGCTATAACGAACGGATTCTACTACAAATATTCCTATAACGAACGGTTTTACCTATAAAATTGAGAATGCTATAACTAACAAAACTCCTACAATGAACAGTATTTTTTTTTTTTTACTAATTTATTGTTTTTATTACAAGTATTAATGATATTCTTTATTTCAGGAGTTTTGATGCATATTTATGCACTATTTTACAATTATATATTAAATTTTTCAATGTTAAGTGGTTGTATTTGGGGGCCTTGAACGGATTAATCCTTTAACGAATGAATGCTATAACGAACAAGGTTCTAGAACCAATTAGATTCGTTATAGCATACCCCACATGCGAAATGAACAATACAATTCATTAATAATATGGAGAATATTTAAGCACATTTTTTGAGACGAGATGGCATTGTTTTCGTTCATGTTTACAACACCCGTGACGAATGAAGATGGTTCTACTTCTACAAAAGAAACTGAAGAAATAAGACCCTGGTTGTTACTGTAGTAAAATTAATGTAAAATAATTAATATGTATGTATTAAGTAATGTTATTTAATGTTAATAAATGGAACAATAGAAGTAGCTCACCATTAATGGAAAAGAAAAACAAAATAATTGGGAACGCCATCGTATGTAAGTGCGTACATGTGAAAACATCGTCACTTCTCTACATCAGAATATGAAAGCAACACTTATTACTGTTGTTCATATGTGTTTTAAATAATACTTACTAGTGTAAAACAAAAATTCTACTCACAAATGGTGGTAAAGTCTAAAATATAAGGACAGATGATTTCGTCAATCAGGTTAAACTCTGGCTGAAGCTTTGCATAAAGATATCATAGCTCTTGCTGAAACCATTACTGAACCTGAAGATGTTGCTGAAGCTGCTTATGATGCTGAATTTGATGGTGTAGCTGAAGTTGGTGGTTCAGGCCTTTGAATATAAAGCTGTCGAAAGAACCTTTCACAGCCGCTTTCTTTACTCATTATACATCTTTATGTTGAGGTCAGATGTGTTAATACACGTCCCTGTTAATTTTAATACTTCGTTCTGTTAATGGATCCACTTCAGAAAATAATATTATGTTCATTGCTTGCTCCATATAATATCCACAGATCACTCACCTTTTTCAGATCGTTTTAACACATCTAGTTTCTCGGCTAAGCTGATACACTTTCTTTTAGCTTTTGAACCGGCAGTATCAAATCTTGCTCTCTTGCTCATGTTGATTAGGGATGCAAAATTGCCGTAAGAAACCTGAATGTTTTTCTCCTTTTCCTGTTCAGATGCGTGAAAACAAAGGGCCCGCCAGCTGCGACTGTTTATACTAGTGATGCTAGCGTCACCCTCACAAGCCTGACAGCCTCCGTGCGCAAAGCGTGTTCTTTTTATTTGTATAATACATATCGGGATTTAGTTATTATTTATATGAAAATGTAATTTTACTTTATTTTCTACAATATTTTTGTCGTAAATACTAAGAAAATAGTGGTGTAAATTGAATTGGGTCCTAAATTAACCAGGGTCTGAAAATATGAATCATCATTAGTAGAACCGTCGTTATGGGAGGCTTTCCTGTATAGTAATCACACCTATTTTCTCATAAGTCTCTCATCGCTACAGAAAGTAAAAATGTCCCCATCTTTCTAGAACACTGTTGGAAAATAGTGATAGAGTAATATACCTGATAGCCGGAAAAATTTGTTTCCGGGTTTAGCTACATTTTTTCATCTAGAATAGATACAAATGTTGTTTTAGGTAGCAACATCTTTAAAATATATAAAAAAGGTAGGTGGCATGTTTATGAATGCTAGGAAACAGGTACGTACTGGGAACTGTGAGTTTGCTTCAGCCATTTGTGTTACCATGTAGGCACATTCTCTATGAGCTGTTCATTAATAATTAAGTGAGTAATAATAACATACTGTAGAAGCAAGGTAACTGACCTCAAAATTGGCTTCATTATCCAAAGATGGGCTAATTTTATTGCCTAAGTGGTCTGACCCGTGACTTCTTCTCTTGGCTTGGCCACTGAAAAACAAAAGAAAAATACAGTAGAACTTCAATATATGAGACTAATTGGGGCAGACCCCAATACGAAAAAAGTGAATAGTATATAGGGGGGTGGAGATAACACTGCTTATCTGAACTGTTTAAAGAAAATCAGTTGATGTTATGTTCTTACTGCACTTCAACAACTAAAGTCTTTAAGTGTTGAACAAGGTTATTAAAAGAATATTACATCAACAATAAAAAACAAAAAAAAACAAATGAAACAGAACTTTCCAGGTTGAAAGTCAGACATCTTAGTCTGGTTGTCAACAACTGTTGTCACCAAGATGATTGTTATTTACTGTAAAGTGTAATATGTAAGTAACCACAGAATTTGTCTTATGAATAAAGAGAAAACTGTATACTGTACAGTACTATAAATATAAAAATAAGAACAAGTAAGTGTAGGGGTATATTGTAAGTGAAAGAAGAGACGGGGGGGTTGCTCCCTCCCCTAAGATTCCTTTAACACTTCTTTCGCAATTTCACCACAATTCTCATATATATATATACAGTGATCCCTCGGTTAACGAGCGCCGCGGTTAACGAGATTTCGGTTAACGATTTACCTTCCATAAGATTCTTAACTTCGGTTAACGAGGTTAACGAGCAATCCCTCGATTAACGAGTTTTTTAAGAGCCGACCTCAACATGTTTTCGCATGCATTTGGCGGTCCACCAGCTGTAGTATTAGTCCGCCAATACAGTAATCGGTTTTAGGGCTTAAATTCCTTACTATTTTAGTAAATATCAAGAAGTTTATACTATTCAATGATTTTAAAAGTTTAATATTAACTTTTTTAGTCATTTTAACAATTATTGAACATAAATGAAGGTAAAGAAACTAGTTTCTGGCGTGCCATCCAGCCTGTTAACACACCAAACAGGCGTTAGTCTCTCTCTTTTCAGTGGAGGTAACATCTTTCTTGAGACTCTCTTCAACTAAACGCTTTTTTTCTGTGTTTGCACGCAAATTATTTTACATATTGACAATATATAATGCAGTGCAGTGTTGATTTAAAGAAAATAATCTTGAATTACACCAAGAGAACTAAAATTTTATGGGTGAAATGGCACCATGGGGTGAATTGAAATGGTGCCATGGGGTGACTTCTCTTCCATCCCAATGCCTTCTCTTCTTCCTTCTCCTCCACCCCCATTCTAATTCCCATCATCATCATCATCCAGGAGCCTTCTACATACACACCTCAAAGTAAGTGTACTTTTCTACCTTTTTTTTTGAATTTAGGCAATTTTCGGTGAGCTGGAACCAATTACCCAAAAACCCATTGAAACAATGGTTTCAGTTAACGAATTTTTCGGTTAAAGAGCAACCTGCTGGAACAAATTGTGCTCGTTAACCGAGGGACCACTGTGTGTGTATGTGTGTGTGTGTGTGTGTGTGTGTGTGTGTGTGTGTGTGTGTGTGTGTGTGTGTATATATATATATATATATATATATATATATATATATATATATATATATATATATATATATATATATATATATATATATATATATATATATATATATATATATATATATATATATATATATATATATATATATATATATATATATATATATATATATATATATATATATATATAATATGCTGATAACCACAAGGAAAGAAGAAAACACGAAGTTCCTAAGCGCTTTCTTGTAATTCACATCTTCAGGGGTGAGTACAGACTAAGGAGAAGTACAGAACAAGTTATATATATATACAGAGGAGGGTGAGATCAAGTCCACAGTGGTCAGGGTATAGGTAATGACCCTACTAATCTTCACAAAAGCACCACAGCAGTAGTCAGGTCAGAGGGTAAGCTGACCCAACCTTCTCACCTGGTTACAAATCTTCTTAATTTCGAAATTATCCAATTTGTACATACCATTACTCAAATTCATGTTGACGGATTCGGTATGTTTAATGAGACTAGATTCTATAATGTTCCTACTGTCAATTGAATTACAAGGTAATATTGAAGAGGCATTATCCCAGTCAATGCAATGCTTATTATCCCTCAAATGAACAAACAGAACATTGGATTCCTGGCCATTCCTAACACTATATTTATGTTGTTTAAGTCTAGTTACAAGATTTTTACCTGTCTGGCCTTAGTAAAATATATTCCATTCCTTGCAAGGAACCTTATAAATGCAGCCACTTGTATTGTTGGGGGAGTTCTTGATTAACATTTGTTTAACAGTGCATGAGTTTTTAAATGCCACATTGATGTTCCAGATTTTTAGTTGTAAGGAATTTGAGAGAAATTTTTGTGAAATGGTAATACGAAGAGATTCTTATGGTCATGGGTGGGCTTGGGATCGGTTCTATAGAAAGATTTCTTAGTAATGTTCAGGCGTTTGTCTATGATTGGGATAATGCCTCTTCAATATTACCTTGTAATTCAATTGACAGTAGGAACATTATAGAATCTAGTCTCATTAAACATACCGAATCCTTCAACATGAATTTGAGTAATGGTATGTATAAATTGGATAATTTTGTAATTAAGAAGATTTGTAACCAGGTGAGAAGGTTGGGTCAGCTTACCCTCTGACCTGACTACTGCTGCGGTGCTTTTGTGAAGATTAGTAGGGTCATTACCTATACCCTGACCACTGTGGACTTGATCTCACCCTCCTCTGTATATATATATAACTTGTTCTGTACTTCTCCTTAGTCTGTACTCACCCCTGAAGATGTGAATTACAAGAAAGCGCTTGGGAACTTCGTGTTTTCTTCTTTCCTTGTGGTTATCAGCATATACCTAGATCACGCCAAGCACCAGTGATTTATATTGTATATATATATATATATATATATATATATATATATATATATATATATATATATATATATATATATATATATATATATATATATATATATATATATATATATATATATATATATATATATATATATATATATATATATATATATATATATATATATATATATATATATATATATATATATATATATATATATATATATATATATATATATATATATATATATATATATATATATATATATATATATATATATATATATATATATATATATACACATACATACACACACTCAGTATATGACAAATTTATGTAGAAAAAACATGAAGGGTCAAGACAATATTCCACACACAAATTTCTCCTATCTCCAACTTTGATAGGCAGTATAAAAAGTGAATCGTCCTTACCTTTTCCTTTTCTGAGGTGTGAAATAAAAATCTGGGCCGGTTAAAGGCATAGAAGAAGAATCTCCACCGAGAGAGTCTCCTCTTGGTTCATCAACGTTGGTGTGAGAGACTGGCGGTGGGGTGACTAAAGGACTACTGGTGGCAGAATGGGAATGATCTTGTCTGTGGGAATGACCATTTTCATGGGATTGATCTTGGCTAGGAGAGTGATCTTGCCTATCTTCACACAGAGGTGGCTGGCCCGAGTTTTGAGCATTGGACAATATTTCTACACGGATTGGTTCAGGCCGGGAGGACCCAGGGAGAGACTCTGTTGGTGTGGTATGTATCTCCACCACTAAGAAAAAATTGATGAAAAGTTAGCCAGGAAAATAAAGTTGTCAAAAAAGTGATATTTTCATAATTAACCTGTCCTGTGTACTGTACTCAGAGGAGGAAACTTACCCATGGGTATACGAGGTGCATTGAAGCATGACGACTTTTGGAACTCCTTTTGTAGTTGCTCCGAGCGTGATCTCTGTTTATATCTACCAATTGCGCCTAATGACATCCCCTGTATGAATATAAATATCTTAAAAGCTATTCATGTTTTAGGTTTTTCTGAAAATAATATATAAACAAGCTAATTATTGTAATTTCCAATGGCAATACCAAATTTTTTGCCCTTAATCCTTATCAATTTTTGCTAAGTCCAGTATTATTAGGCTTATTTTCTTCCTAGCCTCAATAAAGGTATTAGGTAACATGCTGATTAAGGACCAAGGCATTTTATGAATTAGGTGTGCTAATAACTTTTACATAAATGTCAAAAAATTTTCATAAATGATTACTTGATTATTGTCATTATTTTATGTTGAAGTTTGGTGTTATTTTGTAATTTAACAAATGGCACCTGTACCTTACCTGTTTGATAATTTCCTTATTTGCTATTACAATAGATGTGATTGCTTTAACTTGCTGCTGAAGGTCACCAGTACTGCAAACACTGCTAAATGATGCCGGGTAGAGCTTCAAGGAATCTGACACTGAAGGAACATCATGCCTTAGAAATATGATTTATGTAAAGATCAACAACAAACTTAAAGCAATTAAGTTACCCATTAATTACGAGGTACACCACTATATGTTAACTCACACCCGATGATAAATTATGGAAAAGTTAAATCACTTGCATCATAATTATATACTGAACTTGTGTCTAACTTTAATGTTGATAAATCAAAATGCAAGACTTTAAACCTCTAATGTCTCTACAATATTATTAAAAAAATAAATGGAAAAATGTATACCCGGTACTGTAATCATAAAAATATAGTTATAACTAAAATGAAGTTTACATGCATCACACAACCCTGTAGTCAACAATCAGCCATTTTTTTTAAACACTTGGGTTACTTATTACAGTAGTATCCTGAAAGCGCCTTCCGAGCCGTAATTCATTGTTTTAAACCAAATTTTCCATAAAAAGGTTCGGGTTACTATTTAGTAATCCGACAACATTATTGGAAAGTTTGGGATAAGTCCTCTGGTGTGGATAGGGACCCAAAAGATTTATCCCGAATGTTCAAACTAGTTACAGGTATATATGAATAAAAAAAATATCTGAAATACAATACTCTATATAAAAATTAAGATGAGATAATAAATAAAACAAATATTTAAATGTCCTAATAACTGGTTCCGACGGAAATCTATACTGTATATATAAAACAAAGAAGTCTGTCTGTCTGTTTGTGTGCCCGCACGAGAATCTCGGAAACTACTTTATCAATCTGTAGTGATGATGGATGGTGTTATATGTAGTGATGATGGATGGTGTTATATGTAGTGATGATGGATGGTGTTATATGTAGTGATGATGGATGGTGTTATATGTAGTGATGATGGATGATGTTATATGTAGTGATGATGGATGTATGTGTGACCAGGGAACGTTACCTCTAGACCACCAGGACACTAAAAGTAGTCCTAGACTTTGTTACATTTCACACAAAGCCTGTTCATCGAGCTTATGGCGCCGTGAACCTCCAATAGGGGACTACCTGTGCCTCGTAAGTGATCAGAGTAACGTTTTACCAAAACCGGCTTCGAAACACGAGGTTCCAAATGTTCGTATATTTGCTTAAATAATGAAAAAAATATAATAATGAATTGGCAACTCAACTTCAACCACAGTTGCCACAAGATTTTCACATCAAATTTTATTCATTATTTAAACAAATATACGAACATTTGGAAACTTCTCATGACCTTAAATAACAATGAGTAGTTTATTATTAAAAAAATTCTACCTTTAGTTTGTTTAATAATTATCCTGACAGTGATAAAGACAAAAACAGATCCACCAATCACAATCACCTTTACATACAGCCTTCCTTTACCAAGTATTGCCAGGTAAAATTGCGAGCACGAGACCCAGGGTGGGGTCGGTGCATCTTTGGCTGACTGTACATACTGTAATAATGAAGGAATTTAAGGCCTCCAATATAGCACAATTCAGTTCTTGTGTACTGTCCTTAATAATGGCATTGAAGCAATCATTCCCTCTCTTCCCCCTGTGAATGGATGTAGATGCTGCTGGTGATGGCACAGGTGATCCTGATGTTGGATCAGTTGATCCAAGTGCTCCTACTGGTGCAGACGCTGGCATAATTGGCGGTGGTGACTGCCTTCTCCCTTCAAGAGGAACTTTTATCTCCACAACTCATGTGTCTTCTTCAATTTTGGCCAACAGATCGACCTGATTTGTTTACATTTATCTTGGATAAGGTGTACCAACCCCCACGAGTTGCGGCGTTCGTGTTACTATATAGTAACCCGATGTTCGGGATTGATATTCAAGTTTGACGGGTTACTAAACAGTAACCCAATATCCGGGATTGCTCTTCGGACTTGCTACCCCGAGTGTTTAAAAAAAATGGCCGAGTGAGGTAAATACAGTACAGTATTGATAAGATGTGACACCAAAGTTGCAGTAGATACCATAAATGTTTCATGGATACTTCCTCAAAAAATATTCTAGAGTTCTCCACAGTTCAAACTACTGTACAGTATAGTTATAAGTTGGTGAACATGACGGAGAGCTGTCAGGGTGGTCAAGGTCACGAATCCCGCTTGGCCCGGACACAAGTGAGAAGGGTGACACTCACTACCAAACATCACAGGCCTCCCACGGGGCACTCCGGTTTCTTCCTGTACTAACACTGGATAGACCAACCACCATAATGATCTAGTAAGGTGATAAGTGGTAAAAATTATAAAAGAAAATAAACGAGTGGTTATGTTTCCTCATAAGAGATGATTATTACAGTACTAATTATCAAAAGGTCTTACCATGATCTTTTGTATCAGTATAATCAGCCAACATATCTTCCAAACTCTTGTTTCCAATACGTGTGCTGACCTTCCGTCCCTTTCTCCGTAGTTTTGCGCATTCTGCCAATTCTGGTAATTCCTTAAGAAGACTTTCTGCTGTCTTTTGACAGTCATTTTCCTCTAAGAACCCTGTAAATAATGATTGTACTAGTTAAATATTGTAAGTAACTAGGAAAACAATCATAATCAATGTGCCTAATCCAGAGTCTCTACATATAACACTAAAAATATTATACAGTCAATGTTTAATTTTGATCAATATTCTTATATATTTTTTCTTTGTAACTGAACCTCACCAATAAACTATACCAAATATGCCAATCCAGAGGTGGGGTAAGAAAAATACACGTTTCAAAATTGCTTGTGAAGCAGACCATAAAAATTAACCTAACCTAACCATTGATGTGCTGTAGTTGAAACTACTAAGTCCGAGACCATGACCAAAACCTTCAGATGACAAGGTTTAGACCATATGCAATTTTATCCTTTATGATTCTCTTCTTGTCTTCGTGTTTTTTCGGTGTTTATGTCATGTGGGAGTCATAACACTTATGAGGTTAGGTTAGGTTTTTGTTTTTCTAGTGTGTTTTGTGTATTTTTTATTCGCTTAGCAATTAATTTTTTTCGAAAAAGTCCCACGAAAAAATCGAAAAAAAAACGGTCAATTTCCGACGGAAATGAAGGTCATATTCGGTCTAAACACACACAAATACACTAGAAAAATTTATTTTTTACTTTCTAACAGATGGGGAGGTGGAAGTACAAATTTACCCGAGATGACGCTAACCCGACAATTCTTACAGCTGTTGAACTACAATCACAAGTTTGGTCACAGTGAGAATATAATAAACACCTTTTAATTCATTACACAGTTCCACAGACTAGTTAATAACTACTACTAAATATAAAGGTAATTGTTTACACCTGTTGCGTGGCTCGTTACGGAAAACCAAGCGAATAGTTAATTTAAATCTCCTTTCCTCTGTAGCTACGAGACAAGCACACTCAGACACACTATATAAGTCAAAAGTCAGAATTAACACCCCAAGGTTTGAGCCACAATAGTTACTTGATAAAAAGGTTAACATATAGGACTAACCCGCCAGTTACATAGTGCCAGTACAGCAGTAACATCTCACATCCAGGTGCCTCAAATGTCACCATATCATAGTAAGTTCTTTGTGTTTAATATACAGGGGAAGTTAGGTAAGGTTGGGTAGGTTAGGGTAGGTTAGGTTAGGTTAGGTTAGGTTAGGTAAGGTTGGGTAGGTTAGGTTAGGTTAGGTTAGGTTAGGTAAGGTTGGGTAGGTTAGGTTAGGTTAGGTTAGGTTAGGTAAGGTTGGGTAGGTTAGGTTAGGTTAGGTTAGGTTAGGTTAGGTAGGGTAGGTTAGGTTAGGTTAGGTTAGGTTAGGTAAGGTTGGGTAGGTTAGGTTAGGTTAGGTCTGTTCTTCACACCCACAAAGGCTAAGAAGCGTTACTTTAAAATTATAAGTTTTCAAAATATCTCCACAAACTACAAGTGTCCACTATATTATAACAAGAAAAATCTGACTTTTTAAAATTGTTTTCAATCAATTTCGCCCACGGGTTAGTCCAATATAACTACCGATAACAATGTAAAGTTAAAGGACTCTGTTACAGGAAGTTACAGCAGTACCCGTAGGAGCCTTATACTAACTAGACACTCGTCATTTCTTACCTAAAACAAGGCGTGCTAGTTCTGATGGGAGTAGTGAGGTCATTCTTTATATTTAACCTCTGACACACAGTAAACTAACGGTGTTCCTCCCTGTTGTTCACTAAGTCACCTCCATCAACAACAACAACACTCACACTCAACAGTTATAACACAAGTTGTTCATATTTAAAATGTGACTATGATTTTTAATCCTGATTGGTTTATAATAATTGATATTTCACAAGGTAAACTGTAATTATATTTTTTCATTTAGTTTCTTTTATAAATAGATAGAGGCCATTTAATATGTTATTACTGGAACTCCCGCGCTCTGTGACACAAACACTAAAGGCACAACAATCCTAGTATTATTTTTATTAACGAGGAAAATTTATAACGCATTTACGCATTAGCAACATATAGCTTAACCCTATTTAGATTTAATGGTCGTAATGGATCAGTTGAAAGGCGAATAAATTTAGAACACGAGGTAACGCGGGTAGCTCTCAGTATTGTGTCACGGGTTCGAGTCCTGCTGGGAAGGGTGTGTCCAGTCCCAGTGCGAGTGTGACCCTCACTACCACACACCACAGGTTTCCTCCAGGTAATAATAATTACTATTATTATTTAGCATTAACGGAGACCAAGTGTAAGAAGGACCTGGGTGTGCATGTCGACAACGAACTGAAGTTCTTGGACCATTGAGAGAGGAAGTGGAATTAAGCAACAAAGCTCATGGGTCTTGTAGAAGAGTGTTCGGGCCAATAGCACGATAGGCTAGTAAGGTTAAATTTGGTGAAATGATAAATAAAAAAGAAGATATTTCACATATAGTCAACATAGCTCTCACCTGACTGTCGTGCTCGGTACCTTCACGACCCACATGTACAGTGTTGAGTGATGTCGTGTCTCCCGGTTGTTCACATCACAAAATATGACAACCTACATTACTTCTTGTACAGTAAATTATGACTGTCGGGAGTAGTTCCATCAGTGGGTGGTTTACTGTGATATATTTACGGAAACAACTCACGTCGTCGTTGTGTTCGTGGAGAGTTTTAGCCATATTTAAAGTCGATGACAGTCTGTCTTGTGATAGGTGGGAGGTTCTCAAGAATGCTCTGCATAATTTAGCGTGTTTACAGACAATGTGCATGCTGCAATACTACAGTATACTCATAACTATAACTCAAACTCTTGTATGTATACCCCACACCAGCGAAAGTAGGTCTCATAAGCCTGGTGGTCCGTTACTGAGTTCACTTTCCTAAATGAAAAGTTAAATATCTGTTTACAACTGAGTGAACTGTGGAGCTTATGTAAATCCCATAAAAAATTCATGTTAATTTTTGACACCATGCATCACACAGCCTATAACCTGTAGATTAAGAAAAACTATGGTGTTTTTTTCTGAACGGTATATTAATCAAAGAAGTTTTATCAGAGCGGCGTAATCAACCACAAACGTCTTACCATTAAGTTCTAAGTACGAGTAACTTATTACATAACTAATAACATGAAAATGTTGCATTATATGATCACAATTTAACATAATATATTATGAATGCTGCTCTTATATACGCCACCCTGTCTCTCTTATACGCCACCCTGTCTCTCTTATACGCCACCCTGTCTCTCTTATACGCCACCCTGTCTCTGGCAAAGAAGAGAATGCAGTCAGTAAAAATGGTCGCCTTAAGACAACTACTAGAAATTAAACATATGCATAATACCACTATCTGAAAAGCTTACAACATCCATTTTGTATTTATTATTAGTTTATAGTATTGTCCATCATATGGATACAAGTCAAAAGCTATTATTTCCGACATTGCTTCAGTCCTCGTCATCAGACTCTTCTGTGTAAAACACAGATTCCTTCACCTTGTTTAGGCATTATTCATCATCTGCTTGACAGTTACACGTCTCGGTGCATGCCATGTTATTCCTTCTGCATGAATATGACAATGATCCACATTTGCTGACGCCACATCCACCCTTACAAGCTCTGTGATAACTTCTGGAGCTGGTGGCAGGTCTGATATTACCGGTGTGAAGCAGTCATTAAATCTTCCAGCCATGCTCCAATGCATCACAAGACCACAGGGCTTCATATCTTACTCTCAATGTATGATACTTTAGAGTGCTATAGTCGGTGGTAGTTCTTCAGCCTTTGTCTACGTTTTCTTGAAGAGATGCCATCTTAGTATTGACAGTTCAGTGAAAGTGTTCAAAGGAGGGCCACCAGACTGGTGCCTGCACTTCGGCACCTCAACTACCCTGAGAGATATGAGCGCCTGAACTTGCCTAGCTTATACTACAGAAGGGCATGGGGCGATCTAATTGAGGTGTATAAGCATCTCAAGGGGCACTACTCAGTCGAGTGTCTTTTCCTGGAGGTGGCGGACGCTCACCCTACAAGGGGTCACAGCACAAGGCTGAAGAAGCCACAACTCCAGAAAACTGTGAGGACAAACTTTTAAGGCACCGAGAGTGAGCTCTGTCAAGACCGGACTTGACCAACACTGGAGCAGGTTCAGATAAATTCAGGAGCCGGTGCATGCCCAGTACCTGCCAACAGTGCGTAACAGAGACGTGACCGATCGCCCAAGCGGCTAACGAGCCGATCAGTGGCGAAAAGGATATAAGTAAAAGAAAGTCATTCGTGGGCAGTAGAGCTTATATACTAATTCCTCTAGACCAATATACATGTCTGCAGGAAGGGCATTTGGTCTACTTGGCATCTTGAATGCATTTAGGACCTTTGTGTTAGATTTCATCAAAGTGTTCCAACATGTTTTCTTTCCTTTGTCAGCAAATTTTCCTGTGCAGTCAGATCCTGTGAAGGCATAGAAACCTGGAAGGCTCCCTGAAATGTCTGGCCTAATAGCATCATGTATGGATGTGAAAGAAACAATGTGTCGTCGCTCTCAATTTCCTGTTATCATACTTGAATTTTCTCCAAGTTGAGGCTGCTTTGATATGCCTAGAACAAACACATAAAGTGTCTGGTGACATGATATGTACAATGCTGCCTTTCTGTGATGCATATATGGCATGAATGATGATCGGAGCATCTGCTTCCTCGTGGTTACTTTTCAACTGTTCAACATTTTCACCATTGAGTGAACACCGTTCTTTGTTGATAGCACAAATGAGATTTTGCCTGATTGGAACAATGATGATTTTGTTCGTCGTTGGTGAGTAACTTCTTGAGTGACGCTTTAATCTGTGTTGAATCTGTGATTTCATAGCTGTATGCATTTGCTTCCTTGCCATAGCGCCGGTTTCTTGTTCTTTGTTTTAGCGAGTGGCCTACGTCGTAATGATCAAAGACAAGGTGCAAAGCAGCATAACTTTTTGCCTTAGCTGATTATGTTTCAATGAAGTAGTCTGCAAACTCTGCACATTTTTTGACAGACAAATTTGACAGTTCGTGAACTAATGCCATGCCTTCGATGATGAGAGTCTGATGACGCTTGTTCCTTTTGTGGATATGCGATGCTTTGAACATCAGTAAACTGTTCACTTTTTGGAGCTGCTTCAAGAAGACCCATGAGCTAGCTTTTTTCTTGGCAAAGAAGGACAGACCCATCTGGGGAGAAGAGAGATCTTGGCAGACAAGTGAATTCATAAATGCCAATCGCCTCTTGTAGTTTGATTTCATCACTGGTTCTTACGATGATTAGCAGTCTTGCAAACAAAGATCTGTCCTGCTTATGTTCTATAACTTGTGAATGTAATTTGATGATTGAAGTCTTTTTGCTGCTTTCCATGACAGAATATTATCCTTAAACATCTTTTCCCAGATGCGCACTGGACCAACAAGATGTTGCTTGACAAAAGTGTCATAACTTTGTCTTCCAACCTCATATGCACATGGAATGTCATGCTTGACATTTTCTGGCAGTACAGCTCCAGTTACCAAGTTTAAAAGAGCATCATTTTCCTGACAAAACGGATGGCAGTCAAAACACGGGATCTAACAGATACACACTTTATGCATATAGTATTCTGCATACTTAAAGTAACTGACTGGGTTATTTATGATTTTGATATTTTATGTAATAAACTTAATTTGAAAACCCAAATGGTAGTATTTGATCTTTTATCACCTTAGATTTTTTACCTCGCTTACTTCTCTGGACAAATACGATCTTAAATCCCATTAAAGAAATGACACCATATATTTTCTTAATCTCCAGGTTCCAAGGTTTAAAATGATGTTTTGGTGTCAAAAATTGATACGAAATATTTACGGGACCATACAGTATATTAAGCCCGTACACTACTTAGAACAGAAGGTAAACTCTGTATCCAAACGGTCGCCGCGCCCCAAACCATGTACAGAACAGTATACTCAAACATACCTTACTAGTGCTTTGCTGTCATTCGGAATCGAGTATGACGATCATCCAGCTATGATACAATGATAAGAGTTATTAGTGATGGCACCTTCGTTGGTGACCTCTGAGGTGGCTCGAGAGGCCGATTAGGAGCCAGCACTTCTTCAGGCATGTCTTTAAGAATATCCTTATACCTTTCCTGTTGACCGTCAGTATTACATGTGCCATTCTTTAACCCCTTGTGTACGGGATCCTCTCTGTGTTGAATAAAATCGTCTGGTATTAGCCAAATTAAATATTATTAGTGGTGTCCCGTAGTGTATATATTTACAAACTTTTAAAATATTTTTCTGTGGAGTAAAACTAACCTTGTGCTCTGTTGATGCTATACTGTATTACTGAATTTACTGGCTTAAACATATAATATCGTTAAGTTCGTATTCAGTGTTAGTACATTCATTAATCATCACTTATAAAAACCAATAAAGATGAATCTCCCTCGTGTTCTATGCTTGAAGACCTTAGCTGTTGAAGTACACCAACGCAGTTTTAAGACAGCTGGCCATGTCGTGCTATTTGACTATTTTTCACTTGAATCAAAAGGCCCAAATGGTTGACTATTAGAAAGCACTTCACTCGTCTCTCTACGAAGCCAAATACCATGAATAAATAACCGGGAAATACTGTATGTTACACGAAACCTTTAAGTTCTTTATTGCTGAATAAATATGAAAATGGACGGGTTGCTGCTGCTTGGCTGCTTGCTATGCCGGTCGTGGCTGTGTGAGGCAGTACTGGTGGAACCTTCATGTAGCACAGTCGCCCCGCTGCTGAGGAATCTGTTGCTGTTGTTACTAACGTTCAGGGACGGTGAATATAAAACAGGCCCAGTTTCCTTTTTTGCATGTGTATATGTCCTCTCTCTCTCTTTCTCTTTCTCCTGATGTGTATATATATTAATATTACATAAGATAATTCCTCATTTTCCCTCAGATTGGCTCATCATGATCCCCTCAACGAGCCTGATGACCATGGGCAGCTGTATGTGGGTGTGGATATGGGTGTGGGAGTATTTATGTCTCAGCGTGGGTGCACAGGTCAATAAGATAGCCAAAGGATTCCCAGTTGAGTGCAATACTACGGTTGGTTATGTCGAGCAGAACTACGCGGCGGCCAGTGAGATGAGGTGTGCTCTCCTCGCCAACAAGAACGCAGCCCTTGAGTACATATACGATGGTGAGTACAACTACATTGATGAGTACAGGTACACTACTGAGTCAACTATACCATTGCTTCCCTTCTTTATCAGTGTAATTATTGAGGCTATTTTTTGGACGGTATTTTTTCGATTTAATGACACGTGCCTTCCCATTAACACTACCTGCCATGATGGTGATAAAACTTCAGTTGACTCTAAATATTACCAAAGAAACAAACACCTTCTACAATGCTTGATGGCGTTGTTATGTTACTACGTTCTGGAGAGCTTAGTTCACCGCAGAATTCTTGTATCTATTTTATCACTGGGGAGTTCAGGGCCTGGCTCTCTTCAAATTACAATGGACAATATATCAATGCTATTTACTCCTATAGATATATCGTTGTTGGTTTATTGTACCAAGATGCCTCAGTGACCAAGATTTATAGATCCATCACTCAAGGCACTTTTAACAATAACCAAAACTTATGAAATATTAATATGTGATTTATTTGCTATCAGTCTACTTGATATGTGTTGACGTGATTGATAATGTTATAACTGCACTTCAACAACCAAAGTCTTCAGTATGTTTCAGTCAGTACGCCAGACATGTATCAGTCAGTATTGTCGAAATAAGGTCTTATCATCCCATTAGCTGGCACCATCGAGGTTCCGGTCAGGCGTTTCATTTTCTTATTGATTCTTATCTTTTATTTGAAGTAATATTCTTAGTTGCCCTCGTGTATGTAAGAGACTTTTAAGTGGCAGGGATTTTTATTTACGCGTGTACACTCGGTAAAAAAAAAGTATCTTTCAGGAGGGGGCCGATAAAATTCGAATTGAACAATCCTGGTTGTCTCGCTAAGGTTGGTAGGCGTGATTGTGAGACATTTCCTACCTATTATGGTAGGCCTCATTTAGTTACTTCATTCGAAATATAAAATTAGTTCGTTGCATTATGATGATGAATAACATTATGTATCATGTGACTTTATCAAAACCTTCTTTTGAGGTGTTATTTTGTTTTACACAAGAATTGTAAAGATATTTTTTTTTTGCCGAGTGCTTTACACACACACTGACCCTCTCGGCTCTCTTTGACCATCACCACGACCTCATCTGCAAATTTGGTGAGAAACTTCTGCACCATCCTCGACACCGGCTCCTACTACCACCCGAGATCCCTCGTCCAAGAATTGCTGTTCGACACCACAACAGCATCCAGCCTATACGAGCACGTACTGATCGCTATAAGAACAGCCCAGTCCAAACCATTGTAAAAATTATCAATAACTTGTAGTCAACCACTGTATTCACTCCCAGTCAATCTTACCTTTTTGCACTGTCTCTATGTTAAAAAGCCCTGTATAGTATGACCTTCTCCCCACCTAGTCATTATCTATAAAACAAACAAGTATGTCTGTGTTTGTGTGTTTATGTGTGTGTGTGTGTGTGTCCGCACGAGAATCTCGGAAACTACTTTACCGATCAGTAGTGATTAGTGAATGATGATGTTATATGTAGTGATGATGGATGGTGTTATATGTAGTGATGATGGATGGTGTTATATGTAGTGATGATGGATGGTGTTATACGTATGTAGTGATGATGGGTGTTGTTATATGTAGTGATGATGGGTGATGTTATATGTAGTGATGATGGGTGTTGTTATATGTAGTGATGATGGGTGATGTTATATGTAGTGATGATGGATGGTGTTATATGTAGTGATGATGGGTGGTGTTATGTGTAGTGATGATTAGACAATAAAATAATAACAGTTTAATGCTAAAAAAATATACTTTGCTGTACCGTTGTAGTGAAAAACATGGTGGAACTTACATACACCGTTAATGAACTGTTGATGGAAGAAGAAGTTTTGGGGACTGAACAGTGAGACAATGTGGAGCCTCCCGGAGGGTGGCGTCCTACCGTGGCCTAGCGGATGAGCGCGGCGATTCTGCTAGTATATCATATTTATATCACTTATGTTATTTGTATATTATTTGTCAATCAAGAGACCCATCCCCCAATTATGCAATTTCCGACTGCCATGCTCTTTCAATAAACCGTTAATTATTATTATTATTACACACACACACATACATGACTAACAGCGTGTCACCCTTCCACGTACAGGTACTATGTGCACACTGCTGGGTGAAGGACTTGGCATCAGCGACGCTCGGGGTGTGGGGTTCACTAAGCCTTACCCTCTGGGCCAAACACTACAGGAGGTCGCTAATAATAAACCTACTTATGGCGCTCCACATAATGGGAAGTAAGTCAAGTGTGTGTGTGTGTAAGTAGTTTAGTCTACTTTATTCTGTTACCAGTATAGCAACCAGAGTATTATACACGATGGATGAATAAGTTTTCATTATGCATTTTGCATTGACCGCAGGGGTCAGAGATGTTTTCATAGCAAGCATGTAGTAAGCATTTATTTAGCCTGCTGAAACGCAGCTGCTTTAGTCACGTACTGTACACGGTCTGGCGACAGTGTGTCCACCAGAGATGTCTCAATATGACGATATCACCTTTGAAGCTCATTACTTATTCAATTAATGACTCTTACTTGATAACTAGGTACATTGATGATTATCACTAGTAGTCTTCCAAGTATTTGATGTAAATTATTAGTCAGATTAGTAAGATATTTATAACGTCAATTAAGGATGATTCACGGCTCCAACGAGATCATTTCCAGAGAGCTATTTCAGTAACGCTGCAGACACTGATTCAGGTGTTCATGCCAAGGAATTGACTCATACCGACCCTCCCTGCTGGTAGAAGCTTGAACCCATGCATCATCCTTCGTGACGTCATTGTCAGTTAGCCCCAGGGTAGGTTCGCCTTGGAAGAGCTAGTCAGTCTTGAGCTGGACACCACACATTACTGATCTACCACTGAGCAGTAGCCTGAGAGACCCCTTCAGTTTTAGCAGATCTAAATAGCATCTTTACACTGCTCTCAGCTCCCAGCTCTCAGTCAACAGATCAAGTGGCTACCCTCTCTGTAAATACAGGTATACATATATATCTGTACATATAACTGCTTGTATCCGTCCACCCGTCTCAAAGAAGTGAACTAAGACAGACGGTTTTTGGAACAATATCTGGAAATTCCCTAATTAAATGTGAGTCTTCAGAGGAAGTTACAGTGAAGGTACAGTGGAAGTTACATGTGTGTGTGTGTGTGTGTGTGTGTGTGTGTGTGTGTGTGTGTGTGTGTGTGTGTGTGTAAGAGAACATAAAGTTGTCTCTTAAGGGGTCGGACCATGCGAGTTCACTTCTCCCAAACACTATTGGCCACACAGCCATGAAACCTCTAAAATAAGTTGCTGAGACTTACACCACGAAATTTTATGAGATAATGCACCAAACTCTCATAGGCCCGTAGACCTCATAAGTAAACAAGAGCATAGGTACGAGGTTGTGAATACTGTAATACACTGATGGAGGACTATACCTAATATTCCTACTTTTCCTCACAGCTACATTTCCTCCAAAGCCGTTGATGGAAACGATGCTAAACTCAGTATCTACGCTAACGAAGACAGATTTCTGTTTCCCTGGTGGCTGGTGGACCTGGGGGACACCTACTTGATTCACAAGATAGTGATTCTCCCGCGGTACAACAACTACATGCATCACTTCCATGACATTGAGGTTGGTTCCCTCTGCCTTCAGGTTATGAGCTACAGATACTCTTGTACCAAGTCGTAATGGTTCCCTGATCTGTTTTACCAATCAGTTGCCAGAGACCATCATAACCGTGTTGTGTTTACGAGGTTCACTGTTCTTAAAAATCATTGATAAGATTCTTTCACGCATTTCAGATCCGTGTGGGGACACAGCTGGACACGAGTGGTGATCTGGGAACCTACAAGCTGTTCTCCACGTACAAAGGACCTTATCCCGCCCCAAAATGGGAGAAACAACTCGTAGTGTGTGAGAGGAGGGACGGGGTTCTCGGCAGGTACGCGAGCCTCAAGCGAGTAACTGCAGAGTACAGAGAACTCATTCACCTTAACGAGTTCAGAGTATATGCCATACCAGCACATTAAAGTGAAAGTGATTGTCTCTGTCAGCAAATAATGAACTAATATTTATGGATGTGTTAAAAGATATAAGTATGTATTGACAATTTAACACACACACACACACACACACACACACACACACACACACACACACACACACACACACACACACACACACCTATTGATTTTTTTAGATAAATCAAAGTAGTAATGATAAAATAAGAAAATCTAATGCTTAAATAGTTACATTATACAAAAGTAAGTAACAAATATCAAGGATCGATGGATATGTTGGTAAAAACAAAAGTGAGGGAATCAAGACGGTGAAGTATGCTGGGTATGTTGGCAGAGGTGAGTGAGGGCAGCGAGTAGCATTATGTAGCCGCATGAAATTCTGCTATGAGATTTTATGGCGATTTTCTATCATTGAATATGATTTATTGACACTATTTATAAAGACATATTTAGTACAGGCGGGAGTCACTGATGGATACATGATGCTGTGAGGAAATAAACTTTTCATTACAACAAAGTGAAAAAGATGGACTAGTGTCACAAGATATTTACCTGAAATTACATCTGTAGACAAACTTTACGTTGTATAACTAATTTGTGTTTACCAACCAAGTATATGTTGTGTACAGTATAAGGATGACAACAATTTGTGTTTATGTAGGTAATGTTAAGTCATATTTATGTAATTGTAATAATAAAAATTACTCCTCATGTGTTTAAGAATTATTGTATATCATATTTGTGTCTGTTTAAATGTTAAGCTGAAACTAAAAAGACTGAGATCACCCGAAGAATCTCCAGCCTAGTTTATTTCACCGACTGATTAACGACACTAACCTAACCTTATTTCACCTACAGATTAACTAACACTAACACTAACTTAACCCCCCACCAATAGTGTTATGGTGGTTAATGCTCAGGTGAAATAAGAGCTGGGATGGAGATTCTTTAAGTGTTCCAAAGATTCTTACAGTGTTGGTGTAATACAGAAAGTTCTCATCTGTCATCATGTTTCCCTGACCTCATAAAATAAATTTGGTATAAACGTTGTCGGAGTTAATGTTTCTCTTAGTGTAAATAAAGAATAATTATACAACTTTTCATTCTACACTTAATTAGTATTCTTTCTCATTTGTACACATTAGGCGCGAGAATAAATATTTCCTTCCTATTTATATAAATTTCGTCTTCATAGTACATATTATTCAACTCATGTGATAAATTTCTAGCACAATGAACAAATTATGGTAACAAGTGGTTTTATAAATGGTATTTTTGTCCTGCTCAAACTTCAAATTGGTGGGGAGCATTTTAAGGACTTTTGGGTAACATCTGCTGGCTGGTGGACACTGACAGTACTTGAAGAATGTACACAACGAAGCCTTTAGCCTACGAACTTAAAATATTTCATAGGTTTTTCCATCTTTATTTTGGCCTTTTTCGGGTTTCTTCCTTTTCATCTGTCTTTATCTGTCATCCTCTGGTACTCGCCTCTTCACCGACGCTCCTCCTTAGGGTATGATCGTAACCTGGACGGCCATGGACTCGATGGCACACTCGTCGGTTCCTCGCCTGATCCTGAAGAAGCCGTCCTCACCCCAGCTGCCGCCCCAAGAGTTCTTCACGATCCAGAACTTCTCGCCTGTGTCTTCTTCTACACCGTACCCGACGATCAGCACCACGTGGTTGGTTAGCTACGAAGGAGAGACAGGTAGAGTTCTGGATTGTTTACATGAGATAGATAAATAGATAGATAGAGAGAGAGAGAGAGAGAGAGAGAGAGAGAGTTTTAGTCAGTTTCATCAAAGATTACATATATATAGAATAGGATTAAAGAGCTATTGAAGAAGATAATAACATCCTGTTGGAGGTGTTAAGGAATCTGAGCGACACCTGACTCATAGTGTCAACACGACCTCAGTTGACCCCTATAACCTTAGCTGACCCCCACGACCTCAACTGACCCCTCAACCTCAACTGACCCTTCCCCTTCCACACACATACAGAACTTGTAAGACTCATCAACGTTCACTCAAGCATGAGAAACACACTCACTCCTTTGATGAACACTGTTTAGGGTTACCTCGAAGGGGTTAAAGTCGCTCTCGAGGCCCGTGTGGTGGTAAATGCCGCCATTGTAGCTGCTGAAGTCGCTGTACACCTCGAAGGAGACGGAGATGGGGCCGGTGGTGACGAGGGCCTCCAGCATGACCTCCTCGTTGCAGGCGCCGTAGTAGCCGCCCACGTGTTGGTAGTCACTCACGTACGTACGAGAACAGGAATTGTCCGTGGCACAGGAGGTGTCCTGGGTGATGGAGGTTAGGTTAGGTCAGGTCAGGTTATTTCACAACATAAACACATTATCATGGAGTGTTAGTTTCTTACTGTAACCCTTTAGGGGCCAGAGGTTTCTCTCAGCTGAATAAAATACCAAGGTGAGCCGCTGCATTCTAAAGGGTTAAATATTTTCAGAAGTTACACGATTTTAATTATAATGGGGGCAGTGTGGTCTAATCTATAGTCCTGATTAGACACATACAGACACACAGACATTAAAGCAGCACACAGAGACAGAAAGACACACAGGCTCATGTAACAGCACCAATTGTGTTATATAAATATTCACCCAAATGTATAATACTAAAATGTATAATATCCAATTATTCACTAAATTATTCAACAATGACTCAGTATTTATTCACTAAGTTATTCAGCCATGACTCAGTAGTTGTTCATGTCATACATGCTGAGGTCTGTAACTTCATCAGAGGTTGAGCGAGGTCAAGCTGATTTTGCAAATAGCTCGCCCGCTCCTCCTTGCGTCTCACAGTCGTGGCGTGACCACATACAGTAAGGGGACAGACGTGCCCATAGGTGCTCTTGACTTCCCGATCGTCCCACAAAGGTCCCCTCAGCCAGCAAGTTTTTGCCATCATGGGGGGTCGACATAAACGTCCCAGAAGAGGCTCTCTCATGGACACACACATCTCTGATACGGATGCCATCGCCAACTCGCCTGGTCATACTGAATCCAACAGCCTTCAAGAGTCAGACCCCAGTGGTTATGACAGTGACGGTAATGTTTCGATGGGAAACACTAGCCGGAGTGGAAACACCAATGCCACGGACCCTATCACCATGCCCTCTGCCAACCAGCCTTACCGAGCCGACGTATTTGTTGCACTCCTCGGCCACGACGCCCTGGTCCTGGGCGTGGCGGCCAGCTATCAGGAAATCGAAGCCTCCATTACATCCTTGAGACAACTCTGAGCACGACACGATATCCTGCGAGAGGCAGGAGAGTTCAGAGGAATATTTGATTTTTAAAATTTTGTAACGAGGAGCAGCTAGTTTATTGTGCACCTCATGCGCATCCTATGATTGGTAACTAACAAAAGGATTACTGAACAAAGGTCCTGAAGTGTCTTTATCAGGTCTTAGAGGTCAGGGTGGTGTAACATAAAGATTTACAGAGTTGATTCACCCATGAACAAAGAAGTGTTGGTGGACATTTTTCAGGTAAAACAAAATAATGATTTCGCTTAAACATGACATCGTAGAAGGTGAAGCTTCTGAATCTTTGTGACCTACAAGGTATCTTTCCTCACACTACAGTAGTGTTACCTGTGGGGAGAACACATCCTGTCGTTGGTTGCGGGTGGCGATCCTCACTTGGGCCTCCAGGTTGGCCATGGAGGCAAACGCGTAGCAGGAGCCACAGCCGCCCTGGTCCCTGACGGGTGACACGTAGTTCTCGCCTTCCACATCACGCCAGTCGAAATGCTCCGGCAGGAGGGCGGTTTGGGCCTTCTGCTCGGCGGTAGCTGGAGCCGGGCGAGGTCGAGACGAGATGGCAGGCTTCGGGCCACCAGCTCGACGTTGCATCTCCTTCACAGTATATCTGACACCACCAAGACATTTACCATGACTGTATACTTCATAATGGTAATGCAATACAGTGTCGGTATTCTTAAAAACATGTTTCCGAGTAAAGAAAATGACAGTTCGCTGTAACTTTACCAAAATAAATCTTTTATGGCAAATATAATGAAGACCAAGAAACATAAAGACGGAGACGCCTCTGTATTACTGACTTAGTGAACTCGGGATAAGCTTTAGCTGTCCACGAACTTTGGGCAGCGTTGATTTTGTCGATGAAGCTTTGATCATTCCTGAAGGGGCGATCCAGCTCCCTCTGGGCGGGACGAGCGTCTACCCGAGGATTAACCTGGTGAGTGAAGGTAAGATTAGGCTCCCCGAGAAAGACACACAACAGACTTACCGACACAAGGCATAAATATATTAACTTTTTCCTTAATTATAGTAGCTTTGAAGGAGGAATCGTACCCCAACATGACAACAACGCCCGTACTCCTGCATGACAACAGACTGTGAGTGATTAAATTATCTGTCTGTGGCTGGCACGTACTGGACGAGTATCTTATACGTCAGAATAAACTTACCGGTGTGGTCTTCTGGGCGGTGTAGCAGGACCAGTTCCTGATGGTCTTGTCCCGTGACCAGCCGTTGAAGGTGCGATCACAGTAGGACACCACAGCGTTCAAGTCGCCCTCGTAGTAAGAGAAGGCGAAGTAGGAGCGCTCGTTGATGTTCACCTGTTTACAAAGAAATATATTTAAGAGGGGAAGGTGCGGGAGATAGAAAAAGTACACGGATAATATTCACCTGTTGTTAAAGGAGGGATGTACGGAGGGGAATGAGAAGGACATGAGATATTGAAAAAAAAACTTCACACTAAGAATTTTACCTCCTTTGTTCACTTCATTCATCAAACATCATGGCAGTCATTTCATATACCACCATATTATTGGCTTTAGACGCATTAATCCTTGAGACATGCTTTTGTTTTGTGTTTCTGTTATACAATAGTTCGTACCTCAAATCCCTGGTTATAGATCAAGGTCCAAGTTCCTTCATTGCCTAGCTCATCTGTAGCGGTGTTTGGGAAGCTGAGGGTGAAGTTCTTGGCGTGGACGATGGGGCCGAGCTCGTCACAGTTGATGGTGTGGTCGCCTGTCCGCTCAGTCTCCGAGAAGGTCCAGGTGCCGCGTATATCCTCGTACAAACAGTTGGCCGGAGTGTCTGCTGTGACCAAGGCAGTAGCGCCAGCCAGCACGATAAACACTAACATCTGTTGTTGTATGTTAATAAATTGACAGTAATTTTTTAATACATGGCAACTGGCTCTCTTCTTCTGTAGTATTTAAAATATAATGTATGGATGTATTTGATGTTTAGTGTAAGATGTGGAAAATGTCCTAGTAATGTTATTTAACACTGAACCTTCCCCTTATTCCTCTACATTCATCATCATTTAAACGAATTTACTATTTAAGAATTACAAGTGCATTCAATTAAATATTTAAGATATTTCATCATTATTTAAAGCGAACTTGGTAATTATTCGGATAGTGATTGTCCACTGATGGTATATGAGCCCTCACGGTACATTGTTTACATCTGCCACATCACAACTGATGATGCGTCTGTAAGAATGCTATCGTAACTCGCCTATATCTAGAAAACTAAGCATTTGCCCAAGAAAATGAATAGAAGTGAAAGTAATAAACATACAAAACTGTGTCTAAAAACTTCTTCCATAATTATCGAACCGCTGACGGTCACGAATCGTACATTAGCCGCGAACTAATAGCAGGGTAATCTTATCTCCCGGGACCAAAGCAAGCTCGTGCACTCACCGTGATAGCCTAGCAGAGAGTGTCACCGCCTCACCCCAGGAGTGCTTTATCTCCTGTCAAATGACTCGTCATCAAGCACAGTACTGTAGCTTGAGTCGTCTGAAGGTTGTATAGTACGCGAGTTTTAAAACCTAAAATATGATTTTTTTTAAGCTGATAGCTTTAAACCTGAGAAACCTCTAATTATCGCCCTATTGCCCTAACTTCATCCCTCTACTAAGATTTTCGAAACTATATTATCTCTCATTTTCTCCGTCACCTTGAACACCTTTCTCTTTCGTCGTGGCCCTCGACATCTCCAAAGCATTTGGCAGGGTATGGCAAAAGTCTTTGCTTTTAAAACTTTCCTCTTATGGTTTCTCTCCCCCACTTTGTTCTCTAATTTTTAGCTTCCATGAGAACCGATCTACAGCAGTTGTTGTCGAGGGATCGATCTCTCGCTCTTTCTCTACCAATAGGGTTTTCACAGGGTTCTTTTCTTTCACCAACTCTCTTCCTTCTTTTTATCAATGATTTACTTCACACAACGATTACTTCTATCCATTCTTACGTTGATGGTTGTACTCTTCACTCTTCTTCACATTTTTCCCTTCACCCTAATTCTCAAACTAAGTCTGTTTCTAGAGTTGATATCGCTTCATCTATCAATGAGGATCTGTGCAGCATCTCCGAATGGGGAGGTAAAAACTTGGTTAAATTCATGAATAATAAAACACAGTATTTACCAATTACACATTCCAAAATAGAAGATCTCCCACCAATCACATTTCAGGAAGCAATCATTCTGCCAAATTCGAAAATAGATATGCTAGGCCTCACCATTTCCTCTAATATGTAGTGGAAGCCACACTTCCACGACATAGCTAAAACTGCCTCCCGAAAGCTGGGAATGCTGTACAGATACCGTAGCTATTTCACTACTGAGCAGTTGCTTCAAGTATATAAGGGATTCATTCGTCCTAACTTGGAGTACTGCTCTCATATCTGGGGTGGCTCTTCTTCTGTCCAACTGTTAGATAGGGTGGAATCAAAAGCATTTCGTCTTATTAATTCTCCTCCTTTAGTTGATAATCTCTCTTCCCTTTCTCTTCGCCGTAATGTTGCTTCACTCTCTCTCTCTCTCTTTTCCAGGTCCTAATTGGCAATGTTCGGAGGAGTTGGCATCCTGTGTACCGCCGGCAAGGCCGTGGGCTCGTAACACTCGTCTTGCCTGCGGTGCCCATCGTTTCTATATGGATGTCGGTCACACTAGAATAACCCGTTAGAGTACATCCTTCTTTCCTCACACAGCCAAATACTGTGCCCGGGTGGGCTATTCCCCGTAAAAAAAATCGCTTGATAGATTTGGGAAGTATGAAAATATTTGTAAGCATTATCTCTCTAGTTGTGTGATATCAGAATCTTTTGTTATTTGAGAAGACGGGATTTTGTAAACAAATAGGTGTTACAGTGAAGCGTAGTTTTAAAAGAGTTAATTCTACTTCATCAAATTCCATAGTGATGATTTGTTTGCAGAACTTGTCATTACAAACAACGAGTCATGCTGAGTGAGTGAGCTGACTCTTTGTCTCCGTTATCGTTTTATCGTGGATTTTTGGGGGGTAATTCTCTTTCAAAAATTGTATAGTATTTCTTTATAATGTTGGAGAAATTATTACTTTAGTTTTTTATAGTTGAAAATCAATCTTCAAGTTCTCTGACTATTTTATGGTGTCTGGAGTGGACATGTAACCACAAGTCACCTGTTGTTAATCAAGCATCACCTGACAAAGCAACACTAACTTTGAAAAAAAAGAAAATATCTTAATTAAGCAAATTCAATCTCAAAACCTCATTACCAGGAAGAATGCTGACCTTCCATAACCGAATAATTTAAACCCAAATTCTGAATATAAAATCGAAGATAATGTCTAGTTCACCAAAAATTACCCGTATTTTCCAAACACTATCGATACTGACACACTTGAAGCTGAAGAAGTGCTCTGGCAGTTGTAACGCGGGAACAGGTGCAGCTGTCGCCTCAGTCCTCGTGTGTGTCACCCGGGGAAAACCATTTTACATCTCACCATTTTGTCTCCAAATAGTATCAACTTTGTGGCCAGTTAGACCTTTGGGCCTTGGATCAGTTCCCTGTTGGCCCATACCTAAAGACGACACTGTATCTAAGTGAAGCAATAACAGCTGTACACACCACCTCTCTTCACATCCTTTGTTCACTCTCATCATGAACAGTTCTTACTTCAACCTTGGGGAATATTTGTAATTGAAGACGCGCTAAGGTTAATAGTACTACAGTAGGTTTGTTTATTAGTATTAAGCTGTGTCGATTATGGATTTTCATTATTTATTATTATTTCATCTTGTAAACAAACACCACTGAATTCATAGACGTAGGGGAAGAAAAAATGACTTCAGTTTATTCAGGAAAATTATATTTCAAAAGTAAGTTTTAGAAGTTACTGTATAGTGGAGAAACTAGTAACTAATGGAGTTTTGTTGAAGAACCTAAATATATAAAACAACAGCTGTAGGTTTAATCCTGTGATGAAGGTTTAACAATTTAATGATGACGGCTTAACCTTTTCGTCCTCGAATGGTTATTCGTCCATCTAATTTCCGTCTCTCACAGTCACTGACCCGATATACGAGGTTGATTGTTCGTCAGTCTCAGATCGTGTTGCCCCAATTGGTGTCTGGTCGACCAGTTCAAGGGATGCCGGTGAACGGCTATAGACTCGATGGCACATTCGTTAGTCCCTCGCCGGATCCTGAAGTAGCCGTCCTCGCCTACAGTTGCTCTCTCACGAGTTCCTTGCCGTCCAGAACTTCTCCCCTGTGCTCTCCTCCACCCCGAACCCGACGATCAGCACCGCGTGGCTCACTTTCTACAAATTAGTGTCCGTCAGCGTACATACTGGATGTCTACTTTCCATTTTACTGGTCAACCTTAAAACACCATGTTTTATATAAACACTTTAAATGGGTTAAATAAACAATGAATTACAGCTCCAGAGACCTTAACTCACCTCAAATGGATTAAACATTGTTGATGCCCGTGTGATGGTAAACCCCTCCACCGTGGTTCGGAAAGTCATCATACACCTTTAAGGAGAAAGAGCGTCACCAACATAGACTCCTCATTACAGGCGCCGTAGTAACCTCCAACGTAAGAATATTCACGTATGTAGGTGCGCGCGCAGCTCTCGTGCGGCCCTCCACTCCCCTCCCGTGTGGCCCTCTACTCCCCTCCTGTGCGGCCCTCTACTTCCCTCCTGTGTGGCCCTCTACTCCTCTCCTGTGTGGCCCTCCACTCCCCTCCTGTGCGGCCCTCCACTCCCCTTCTGTGCGGCCCGCCACTCCCCTCCTGTATGGCCCCCACCCCCTCCTGTGCGGCCCTCCCTCCCCCTCCTGTGCCCCCCACCCCCTCCTGTGCGGCCCTCCACCTCCCTACTATGCAGCCCTCCACCCCTTCCTGTGCAGCCCTCCACCCCTTCCTGTGCAGCCCTCCATCCCTTCCTGTGCAGCCCTCCACCCTTCCTGTGCAGCCCTCCACCCCTTCCTGTGCAGCCCTCCCACCCCCCCTCCTGTGCGGCCCCTCCACCTCCCTACTATGCAGCCCTCCACCCCTTCCTGTGCAGCCCTCCACCCCTTCCTGTGCAGCCCTCCACCCCTTCCTGTGCAGCCCTCCACCCCCTCCTGTGCGGCCCTCCACCTCCCTACTATGCAGCCCTCCACCCCTTCCTGTGCCCCTCCACCCCTTCCTGTGCAGCCCTCCACCCCTGTGCAGCCTGTACAGCCTCCACAGCCCTCCACCCCTTCTGTGCAGCCCTCCACCCCTTCCTGTGCAGCCCTCCACCCCCCTTCCTGTGCAGCCCTCCACCCCTTCCTGTGCAGCCCTCCACCCCTGTGCCTTCCCCTCCACCCTTCCTGTGCAGCCCTCCACCTTCCTGTGCAGCCCTCCACCCCTTCCTGTGCAGCCCTCCACCCCTTCCTGTGCAGCCCTCCACCTTCCTGTGCAGCCCTCCACCCCTTCCTGTGCAGCCCTCCACCCCTTGTGCCCCTCCACCTCCCTGCAGCCCTCCACCTTCCTGTGCAGCCCTCCACCCCTTCCACCCCTGTGCCCCACCCCCCTTCCTGTGCAGCCCTCCACCCCTTCCTGTGCAGCCCTCCACCCCTTCCTGTGCAGCCCTCCACCCCTTCCTGTGCAGCCCTCCACCCCTTCCTGTGCAGCCCTCCACCCCCTCCTGCCGCTCATATATTCATATATTCTGTTGTGTGTTATCTCGCCCACAAAGTACACGTGGGTGAGGTAGTGTGTCTTGTGCTGACAACATGTGAACTAACCGCTGGTGTTCCCGCCACTAAACACTGGAGTCAAGTAACCACATCTTACACTCCGTTTGTGTGATCCTGTGACTGTGTGACTATGTTTGTGTGTTTGCATCTGTGTATTTGTGTGTTTTTGTCTGTGTTTGTGTCTGTGTGTTTGTGTGTTTGTGTGATCGTGTGATAAAGTTTTACTGGATTTTTATTTCTGTTTCTATCAAGGTGCAAAAACTGCCTTAACAATTCTATTAACTTTATTATAGATGTTTTCCTTTGATCAATACCTGTCTGTGTCTGCCTGCGTTACTTTGTACTTTGTTTCCTTCCTCTACTCCTTTTTCGCTTGTTCGTCGTTTGCTTCCTATCTTGTCATTCCCAATTATGGTTCTCCATCTTACTCTCTGTCTTTCTTTATTTCTCATTTTCAATAGTTATCGGGCCTCTTCTTCCTCCCTTGTTACTCCCCATCTCTCTCTTGCATTCTTCACTTTATCTAATTCTTTGGCTTGTACTTCTTCTAATGCTCTATTGCTCTTCCCAGTCCTCTTTGTATTGTACCTTTTCCCGTTCTGAACCCCCTTTAGCACGATAAGTTAACCTCCTGAGTACGATAAGTTAACCCCCGGAGTACGATAAGTTAACCCCCTGGAGTACGATAAGTTAACCTCCTGAGTACGATAAGTTAACCCCCTGGAGTACGATAAGTTAACCCCTTGAGTACGATAAGTTATGCCATCTTACTCAAGGGATTATTTACATAAACCAACCGACCCTATTTTTTTTTATTCCAATTTTACAATCCATTCATAAGTCTTGTTTGATCTCGTTTTGTTGCCCAAGAGTTCTTTATGAGACCAAATGGCTACTTATGGCTACTGGTAGATTTTTCTTCTGTTTTAGTGTAATAATTCATTAGGTTTCTTATTTTGTTCTTTTTTTTTCTTATTTAGGAGGATAACAAAAACAGCTATGTATTGGATTATTTTACATTTAATATTTTAGAAAAAATAAAAACTGTTTATTCATTCCTCTGGTGTCGACGGTGTGGGAGATCAGGGAATGACGGTAGACTGGAATGCTACAGACTCAATGGCACACTCGTCGGTACCTCGCCTGATCCTGAAGTAGCCGTCCTCGCCCCATGATGTACCCCAAGAGTTCTTGCATGTCCAATACTTCTCCCCAGTCTCAGCGTCCACACCGTACCCCATCAGAAGCACCCCATGGTTCACCTCCTGGCCGGGAACATAAAATATAATGTTTCAAAGACATATTTAATTGTTCCCATAACATTGTATATAAAATGTCGCATAAAGAAAATTGACATATTTTTTTAATAGTTTTATGAATCATTATTTGACTCCTAGTATGAAACACAAAAGCTTAAGTGTTTTGAATGCTATTAATAATAAATTACTTAAGTTTATGTCCAGAGGAATTCCCATAAGCTCGGGGCGATTTATGTTTCAAAAGTTATTACATGTAATAAAACTCTTTGTAAAGTTTGAGGTAATGTAAGAGTGTGTCACCTCCAGAGGGCTAAAGTCGTTCTTGAGGTTAGTGTGGTGGTAGATGCCGCCGCTATAGCTCAGGAAGTCGTCGTACACCTCAAAAGCCAGAGCCATGGGGCCATTCTCCACCAGGGCCAACATCATGAGCTCCTCGTTGCAGGCGCCGTAGTAACCTCCCACATATTCATACTCGCTGACGTAGGTGCGCGGGCAGCTCATGTCTGTGTCACAAGCGTCGTCCTAAAGGGGTTGTTGCGTTTTATGAAATATTACAAATTGTTTTCGTTTGTCACATATATCCTTATCATAACACTGTTTACTGATAAAAATGTAGTCACTGTTCATTGTGGTTAAAATTTTAGCTACACTATTACTAAAGTCAATATTATTAGACTTGAGAGAGAGAGAGAGAGAGAGAGAGAGAGAGAGAGAGAAAACTTAATTTTACACGAATAAAAAGAAAATATATCAGGGTTCCATCACTCACCAAGCCAGTATAAGGGTTACACTCCTCAGCCACGATGCCTTGGTCCTGGGAGTATCGGCCACCTACCAGGTAGGGAAAGCCTCCCTCACACCCCTGAGACAACACCGAACACGACACTATGTCCTGTGGGTAAGATATCAGTATTTCATTAAGTATAGAATGCGTGACCTATAATATAAATGACTTATAGTATGAGTGACCTATAATATGAGTGACCTATAGTATGAGTGACCTATAGTATGAGTGACCCATAGTATGAGTGTCTACGTGTGTGAATCCTTTAGCTCCGTATAACCTCATCAGAGTTGCCCGTCACATGTGATTCCTACTGTCTCACCTGGACGGAGAAGACGTCCTGTCGTTGGTTGCGGGTGGCGATCCTCACCCTGGCCTCCAGCATAGCCATGGAGGCGAAAATGTAACAGGAGCCACATTCTGCCTGGTCCCTGACGTCTGATACATAGTTCTCGCCTTCAACGTCACGCCAGTCGAAGTTCTCCGGTAGAAGGCCAGCGCGTTGTTTTTGTTCTTGGGTGGCTGGTGCGGGCCTGGGTAGACTGACTGCTCGCCCACCAGTACGTTTGTACATTTCCTCAACAGTATACCTGCATAAAACATCAATGGAGTGCCGTAAAATGTATTTTTATAAAACTTCTAATCAAATAAGACTAAAAAATATTACTGAATTTTATATGTTCCTCGAGAGAATAAAATATCCATAAACTTGGCCGTTGTGGGGCAATACTCTGCCAGTAGTTATACTTGAACTGTCATCTCCCTTCCAACATTTATTTTGGTTTAAGGCCTCGGCCAGACACTTCTGTTAAAGCTAGGAGTCTCACCTCTCGTGCTGGGGGTAGGCCTTCCCCCTCCAGGAGCTCTGAGAGGCGTTGATATCCTCCAGCATCTTGTGGTCGTTCTTGTAGAGTCGAGACGACTGAGTCTTCCTCACCTTCTGGGTCACACGAGGAGTCGTCTGCAGAGATAACAAGAGGATGAAGGACATAAGGCTCATAACGCTTGTCGCCTGTAAGTGTTAGGATATTAATTTCCTACAAAATTATTCAATAGAGGCTAATAGAATATACAGTACCGCGTTGTGCTTCTGGGCGGTGTAGCAGGACCAGTTCCTGACGGTCTTGTCTCGTGACCAGCCGTTGAAGGTGCGGTCACAGTAGGACACCGCAGAGTCCATGTCGCCCTCGTAGTAGGAGAAGGCGAAGTAGGAGCGCTCGTTGATGTTTACCTGATGTGGCATTATTCACGTAAAATTATATAACCGATTTATTAAAACTTTGAGGAAGATTAATTTCTTGCAACTAGTTTATGATATTATAATCAACATTGTTATCATTGCAGTGTGGACAAGTTATAGTACAGTAAACACCGTCAGCTGACCTCGAAGCCCTGGTTGTAGATCATGGTCCAGGTTCCCTCGTTGTTCAGCTCATCTTTGGCGACGTTGGGGAAGCTGAGGGTGAAGGTCTTGGTGTGGACGATGGGGCCGAGCTCGTCACAGTTGATGGTGTGGTCGCCTGTCCGTTCCGTCTCCGAGAAGGTCCAGGTGCCGCGGACGTCCTCGTAGAGGCAGTTGGCCGGCGTGTCCGCCAGGGCCACCGCCACGCAACACAACGCCAACACAACTCTTGTCTGGGGGACGTGTGAGTTGTACATGGTGAATATTATGACTTATATTAGTGGTGAGGGTAAACATCACATCCGCCTGTATGATCAAACAACGACTGATTGTGTTTTGTCTGTATATATAGACAAATTTATTCCTTAAAATGTTTGCTCTTTTTCCTCTACAGAGAGAACTCCATTCCTTTCTATAAATCTTACAAAATTCTTAAAAAGGAACTGCGTAAATGCGATTTGACGTTAGTGTGAGTGTGTGTGTGTGTGTGTGTGTGTAAGACTTCTACAGCAAATATAAATGAAAATTATAATCTAAGTGCCGTACGTCAGGTCTACTTACCAACATGTTATTCTATTGGTGGGAGAGCTGTTGTGGATATTGTTTTATGTCCGAGCTAAGACTTTATACCTAGCATACAGTTACCAGATACTTCTATATTGGCATGTACCCGAACACTGATATCTCTCTCACGCACACACGTTAACTACAATGATGTAAGAGCCGAATCTACAAGTTGTATTTACATCCATTGAATAAAACGTAAATAGAATATATCTTACCTTATGATCAGTCTTAAAATCTGAAGTCACAAACGGTTTAGTATGTCGACGTTAGACCATATAATGATATATTATAAGAAACAATAGATCCAAGTTGGTGGCAGAAACCGTGACAAATGTAATACAATACACTTAGTTAATCAACAACGATCTATCTTAGTGTCAATAAACATTACCTGTCTTACCTGAGAGAGACAAGAGGCGGATGATTGTGGTGTGAAGGCCGACGGGAGATACCTGGTGAACAGCTGGACATTCTCAGGCGTATAAACCACACCTACAGTACACAAACACATACTCATGTACACTCGTGACCCAGGAAAGCAGGAGACAATGATGTGGTTTCTTAATGTGTGTTTACTTCGTTGATTTATATGACAGAAATTTTTTGTTAATAATCCATTTCTATATTTAAGGTTCCAAGTTCCCGGGATTAACTTCGTCATCCTCCTCTGAATGTTTTCTAGGGAATCAATATCCAATCTATAGTTAGTTACCAAAACTGAACTACATAATCCAGTGGTTCTCAATTAGTTTTAGTCATTACCCCAAAACAAGTCTGACAACAAGACTCATTACCCCGACGTAGGTTTGTCAACTGTTTTATTTCTAAACTATTTTTGGTCAAGGTCACTTTCTTCTTTATCATAATTTACTTTTTAGGAAATAAATCTTGCTATTTAATTTTGACTTTCTTTTATTGTTAACTGAGTATTATACAGTAATTACAATATTAAATATGAAACACAAGTCACCGAACTGACAAGAACTTTTACTAATGAGTAAAATGGCACTTTCGGTTGGTGACCATTTCTTGAATACGTGGGGATAACTTTGTCAAGACACATCTAATACTAAAAGTTTGTTCAGGTCTTTTGGTTATTTGTCCTACCTTTGTGTCGTCAGCAAATTTACTTGCATTGCTAATATAAACACACGAACATAATAATGGAAGAAACTGCAGCGGGCCTATTGGCCCACACTGGGCAGTCCCATTTACACCCAACCCCTATTGCTCATATAAGCATCCAACCTATGTTTGAAGCTATCCAGCGTATTCGGGTTAATGATGATATTTGGTAACTTCTCCATTCATCCACTACTCTGTTTCCAAACCAGTGTTTACCTATTTCGCGCCTAAATCTAAATTTGTCTAATTTAAAACCATTGTTACGAGTTCGCTCCTGGTTGGATAGTTTGAGTACCTTTGTAATGTCCCCTTTGTTTATCCCTGACTTCCATTTATACACCTCTATCATATCACCCCTCGTTCTACGTCTCTCGAGGGAGTGCAAAGTAAGATACTTTAACCTGTCTCTGTACTCAAGGTTCCCAATGCCAGGGATTAGTCTTGTCATTCTCCTCTGGATTCTTTCCAAGGATTCTATATCCATTCTGTAATACGGTGACCAGAACTGCACTGCGTAATCCAGGTGAGGTCTCACAAGCGCAAGATATAATCTTAAGATGACCTCGCTAGTCTTGTAACTAACACTCCTTTGTATGAACCCAAGTACTTTATTAGCCTTGTTATGAGCAAAAACACATTGTTTCCTTGGCTTAAGATTCCTACTTATCAATACTCCTAAATCTCTCTCGCAGTCGGATTTCACAATGGCATCGTTGTTCATCTGGTAACTGGTTTCCCTGTTTGCGTCTCCTATACTGAGTACTTTACATTTTTCCACATTGAATTTCATCTGCCATTTTTCAGACCATTCGAAAAATTTGTTTAGATCTTCCTGTAGTTTTGCGGAGTCCTCGTCAGTTTTAATTACACGTCCTATTTTAGTGTCATCAGCAAATTTACTTATGTTGCTGTCTATGCCGATATCTATGTCGTTTATGTATATAATAAATAATAATGGGGAACTCCACTAGTGACGTTGCTCACAAATAGTTTTAATTTATTCTGCGAAACATTACCCTCTGTTAACTGCCTAGCATTTTGTCCACCAACCCTGAGCTTTTATTACACCCTGCAAACGCTTGGAAGGGAATCAACCAGGTTGCTGCATATGTTCGGTATTCCCCTGATCCCCTCCCTTACCCCTGTGGCTTTCCACGTCACCGCCTCTCTTGTCTTCTCCACCTCCCACTCCTGAACCATAAACCCCCATAAGTTTTCGATGGGATTGCAGTCACACCCTTTAGACGGCCAATCTAATAAAATAATCTCTGGGTGGGCAGTAAGCCACCCATGATTACCCGGCTGGTGTGTATTGGTGTCCTGTCTTGCACCAGATGGATGGGTTGAGGCTCTGGTATGCCATAAGGCTTGCACTGAGGGAAGCAACGAGGTCTCAAGAATATTGATAATATAGATCACTATTCAGATTCCCTTCGATGGTAGTTACTTCACCTGGACCACCCGTGAAGGGACAGTCACCCGGCCACTTCTTGTCCTTTCTACGATGTTGCTGCTTTCGAATCTTGTGTTTCTAGGAGTTGCGGTGTTCATTTTGAAATTCATCAGTTACCTCTGTGAAGTTACTTTTTTGGTTGTCGAGTGTACAACCCCCCCCCCACCCTTGCTACTTTAAGACAGTGTGTGTAGGATATACATAATCGCTCTATGTTGTAGAATATAAACAGGAAACAAAAAAAGATTCATCTTTAAACATATAACAATACAGGCGATACAGTGTTTATTTTTGTATAGAAATGCATCACCATCTGCAGAAGGTCTCGTAAGTTTTCCCTGTGTGGGTTGTACTGTCAGCCATATAAGCTAATCCTTATAGATTAACTCCATCACTTAATCACAGACGTATTTTCTTGACTTGAGAGTTCCATCACACAGCGTGGCTGATGGCAAGTTCAATTTTACTTCTTTTTTTCAACATCACTCATAAAAGTATTATCGGTTCACTATAATGGGATAAAAAGAAAACTATATAAAGCCAAATGTTATATTGACCTTCTGAGAGGACTGCCGTAGACACTCCCAGCTCAGGGGATGATGGTGGCCCCGAAGGCTGCAGACTCCATACCACACTCGTCGGTGCCTCGCCTGATCCTGAAGTAGCCTTCCTCTCCCCAGCTGCCGCCCCAGGAGTTCTTCACCGACCAGAACTTCTCCCCCGTTTCAGCTTCTACACCATAGCCCACCAACAGCACCGCGTGGTTCACCACCTGCCGTAAAGAATAGGGAAAATACAGTTATACGTCTGTTTAAGAGGAGTTGAAAAAGGAGAATTCCGTTTTTAACTGATTTAATAAATGTAAAGATTTAATCTAATCATACAGGTATCTTACCTCCAGAGGGTTAAAGCCGTTGCCAGAGTCCGTGTGGTGGTAAATGCCGCCGCTGTAGCCATGGAAGTCGTCGTAGACCTCAAAAGCCACGGTCAAGGGACCAGTCTCCACCAGGGCCAACATCATGAGCTCCTCGTTGCAGGCGCCGTAGTAGCCGCCCACATATTCATACTCACTGACGTAGGTGCGTGAACAGCTCATGTCCGTGTCGCATTCTTCATCCTGAAGTTTGTCCAAATTATAAGTGTCGAAATCGTCATAAAATAATTATTTTACATACATGGACTGGCTTTATTCAGCCTAGTTGCCTTCCCCATGTCATTTACAGCAACCAGCAGTAGTACTATAGAAGAGGAAAGAAAGGTTCAGGAATCCCTTAAGCTCTCCCAAGTCACGACATTAGTACTGCCCTTTGTGGTTACGCTGCTGTTCATAGCCTATTACCTGCCTGCCTATGTTTGTTTGTGTTCCAACTTACAGACTATTAAACTCTTAAATAATATCCCTAAAGTAGTCTAATGGTTGTGACTGAGAATAAAATATTTCTAGTTATGATCTGCCACTGGTCAAGGTCAGAGGGCATCAGACCATTCAGTAACAGGTCAAATCTATAGGATTATTGAAGGCCATAATTCTGGACAGCTGCCTAATACCCTGGTTTAGTTGTCATATAAGGATCTTTCGTCTTAACACTTTCTCTGGTCAACATTCAGGACATCAGTAAAATGTTTCCCTCCTGTACTGACCTTCATATAATATACTTTACTACACTTTACCTTCCCGCAATTTTTTATTCTTCAACGATAAATCTAAATTTGTATAGTATTTAGGATCATCTGTAACCAAGACTATGTGAAAGACATTACAGTAAACCCTCTCAAGAACAGACTTCTCAATAGCGGACTTAATACAGTAAACCCTCTCATTAGCGGACTTAATACAGTAAACCCTCAATAGTGAGCTTAATACAGTAAACCCTCCCAATACCGGACTTCTCAATACCAGATATTCTCAATAACAGAATATTGTCGATAATGGACAGGGTTTGCAGGGGTTAGTCTGGTATTGGGAAGGTTTACTGTAGTACTTCGTGCTTCCCCAGGCACTTCTGTTTACCTTAGCTGTATAAGGGTTGCACTCCTCTGCCACGACGCCCTGCTCCTGGGCGTAGCGGCCAGCGATCAGGTAAGGGAAGCCGCCATCACAACCCTGAGACAACACCGAGCACGACAAAACATCCTGGGGATAAATGATGGAATATATAAGTATAACTATAATATTGAAAGGACTTTTTGTGGAAGGATCGTACCACGAGATAAGACATCAAGTAAGAGTGAATAAATGACAGAAAGAAGGGAAGATATGAGTGTACAGTCGGGTCAAAAGTTCACTCCCGCCCAAAATGAAGCAGCATCGACGACTCAGTTTCACCACGGGGAGCGAACTTTTGTCCCTAGCTGTACATTGGCTGTTGGTTGTCCAGCACTCTGTTCTATAGCATGACGTGGTTTGAATGAGTGAAAACATAAGTGTGTGTCATCTAGAATTCTGACTCACTGCAATCTTCATCTAAGTGGCCAATTGGTCACTCACTTGTGGGGAGAAGACGTCTTGTCGTTGGTTGCGGGTGGCGATCCTCACCCTGGCCTCCAGCATACCCATGGAGGCGAAGATGTAACAGGAGCCACATGCTGCCTGATCCCCCACGTCAGACACGAAGTCTACGCCATCAACGTCACGCCAGTCGAAGTTTTCAGGCAGAAGTCTAACACGATCCTTCTGCTCCTGGGTGGCTGGTGCCGGCTTGGGTAGACTGAATCTATGGCCGCCAGCACGTTTGATCATCTCTTCTACGGTATATCTACACAGAACATCAATAACAGGTTATAAATTACATTTTCATATACTCTCATTCCTTTACGACTAATGTAATTGGACTTATTCTGGCTGTTTCTCGTAGGAATTAAGGACATAAAATATATTAGGTCGTTTTGGAGATGACCATCTCTTAATAACTTTGGTATTTTTTCGGTCCAATTTAGTGTTTCAAAATTCTTTACGGGAGACTGACGTAAAGCTTTTTCTCTCTTACATTCATCAAAAACCTTCAATCTATAAATAAAATCTATATAACTTCACCAGCAGTCATCTTAAATAGTTCCTTCTAACACTGTATTCATCCTGCCTCAAGTCATCGTCCTCAGACCTCCTTGCATCATAACCTTTCTTAGTTGTATTTTTACAGCTAAAACACAAACCAACTCTCTATACACCGAGAGATGTTGAATATTGACCCTGAAGTGTGAACTCTTACCCATATTCTCTTTTAATGACCTGGCTTCCATTTTCAGCCCTTTGGACCATAGACCGTCCAGATCTACCTGTGTTATGAGTCTCACCTCTCGTGCTGGGGGTAGGCCTTGGCCCACCACGAGCTCTGAGAGGCGTTGATCTCCTCTATCATTTTGTGGTCGTTCTTGTAGAGCTGTGTCGACGATGCCTTCTTCAGGTTGTGGGTCATACGGGGAGTCGTCTGGATGATAAGAGTCACATTTAGTCCATTAGCACATACTGTACAAACTTAGGAGGAGTTTCATCACAGTGTATTTTTGTCATAAAATAGAATATACAGTACCGTGTTGTGCTTCTGGGCTGTGTAGCAGGACCAGTTCCTGACGGTCTTGTCTCGTGACCAGCCGTTGAAGGTGCGGTCACAGTAGGACACCGCAGAGTCCATGTCGCCCTCGTAGTAGGAGAAGGCGAAGTAGGAGCGCTCGTTGATGTTTACCTGATGAGTAAGGAAAGAGTATTATGAGCGGCGAGTTAAGTTCCACCAACATAAAGTATCCAGGAGTGAAAACTAAACTAAAAAAAAAAGATGGCTTTTGTTCCCCAGATGTCTTCAAATTTATTATTAAAATTTTGACTCAGAACTAACGTTTTCAATCTAAATTTTTATATATTATCATTGAAGGCATGCAACTAATACTGGAAGCTAAAGTCAGTATTATTACTCATACAAGGTGTGGCATCTCAGCTGACCTCGAAGCCCTGGTTGTAGATCATGGTCCAGGTTCCCTCGTTGTTCAGCTCATCTTTGGCGACGTTGGGGAAGCTGAGGGTGAAGGTCTTGGTGTGGGCGATGGGGCCGAGCTCGTCACAGTTGATGGTGTGGTCGCCTGTCCGTTCCGTCTCCGAGAAGGTCCAGGTGCCGCGGACGTCCTCGTAAAGGCAGTTGGCCGGCGTGTCCGCCAGGGCCGCCGCCACGCAACACAACGCCAACACAACTCTTGTCTGGGGGACGTGTGAGTTGTACATGGTGAATATTATGACTTATATTAGTGGTGAGGGTAAGCATCACATCCGCATGATATATGTGTCTGTGACCTTGGAGAAATGTTCCATAATTTGTATTTATCAAATCTAAGAAAGTAATAGTACCTAAATATTACTGTGTCCCTGCTCCTTCACCCCAGTCTTACATCTCCATATCCTGTAAACCAATTTAACAAAAGCAAACTTTGTAGACTCAATAATTTCGAAGTAACGCTACACGCCTCAAGCTATAGACTGCCATCATCGATCTTACCTTCATATTGTCTCACGTCTACTTACCAACATGCTCAGGTGTTAGAGTACCAAGAGGTGTACTGACTGCTTTTGTGTAGAACTTAAACTCTTATACCTGTCTTGTAGTTGCCAGACATTACCAAATATTGGACCAAGTGGCCACGAAAATGTGTTTACACAAGTACGGGTTTTGTCATTCTCTCTCAGAGACACACTGACATATTATTTATCTCTTTTACACACACACACACATACACACATATACACATACACACACACACACACACACACACACACACACACACACACGGTAGACAATCAAGCGCCTCACCAGCCGTGTTTCAAGTCGCGGGAATCCCACCCAAGCGAGTGTGGTGCAACGTCACGTTTTCCCAGCGACGGCTCCCTTGTTTCTAATGTATTCTGACAGCAGGTCACCCACATCTTGAGTTGAGTACACGTTAGGGATGACCTGAAGATTTCCTCCTCTGGCTTATTTTACCTAAAGATAACTCACCCTAATACTCTTTGGGGGATAGGATAGGTTAGGTTCGGTTAGTGTTTGATTAGTTAATTTTTAGGTAAAATAACCTTGGGAAATAATTTTCAGATAATCCCCCAGAGCCTAACACCAGACACTCCGGGTGCTGGTACAGAGTGGAACCATTCTCAGCCGACGAGTCTACAATGATATCAGCTTGTGATGACAACTTCCCAGTTGGATGATCTTGTATGTGTGTGTGTGTGTGTGTGTGTGTGTGTGTGTGTGTGTGTGTGTGTATGTCCATTTAGACGAGGTGTTTGAAGTCATGGGGCCAAAGATGCACCAGATATAAGACATGTTTTATACAAAAATATACTCTGGTGTCTGCATAGTAACATATAGCGGGAGGTATTGATGTGAGCTTTCTATGTTAACTAATGTTCTCCGTCTCTCTTAAAACACATCTACGATATATTGAAAATTCTATAGAGCCTTACACCTCTCCGCAGTACACGACCACAGCTGCGATTTGGTGAGGATGTTTTTATCATTTGCACTTAATTGCGGCTAAGAATAGTCAATTGGATGTAGTGTAGATAACAGCGTCGTGTCATGGTGAAAGGCTGTGAGATGTCCCTCAAAAACAAACCCAGGCAACACCGGGTACCCCCAAGCAGTAGATGGAAATATAGGTTATAAATGATAGTTAGTGAGACGCGACCATAACATAAAATCGACTGATTCAGAAAATTAGAAGTACAAAAGTTCTGTTGATAAAACCATCAATATGTCACTTTTATATTTTCATTATAAAAAGTAAGCGGTTACTTTGATAACAAGTGTAATACAGACGTCAGGTAGAGGCTATAAGATTAATATAAAATACTCTGATGAAAGTGCAACACAGAATATACCGTATGTACAAGTATATGCAAGAGTGTCCGGCCAAATATTATGGCAGTATCTGATAACTCCATAATGGGTATAAAACTTCAGCTCTCCCTCATTACAACACTTTCACCACAACAGACAACATGCTGGTAAGTACAGAACGACTAACACATAACACATCATTATATTAAACTGTCCTTATTGTTGCAGAACTGTAATGGCGTAATGAAGTAATTATACTAAATAGTTGTTGCTGTTTTGTATAAACTCGTATATACACAGAAAGAGAGAATACGTTTGATCATACAGGCGGATGTGATGTTTACTTCACCACTAATATAAGTCATAATATTCACCATGTACAACTCACATGTCCCCCAGACAAGAGTTGTGTTGGCGTTGTGTTGCGTGGCGGCGGCCCTGGCGGACACGCCGGCCAACTGCCTCTACGAGGACGTCCGCGGCACCTGGACCTTCTCGGAGACGGAACGGACAGGCGACCACACCATCAACTGTGACGAGCTCGTCCCCATCGTCCACAACAAGACCTTCACCCTCAGCTTCCCCAACGTCGCCAAAGATGAGCTGAACAACGAGGGAACCTGGACCATGATCTACAACCAGGGCTTCGAGGTCAGCTGAGATGCCACACCTTGCTGTATGATAGTTTGATTTGTACTGCAGCACTAACAATGGTCTGGTCTGGTCATTTATAACAAATATGATTTATATTCGACTCCACATTAAGGAAACGATATGTGATTTATACCAAGTATTTGTCAATGCTACGCGTATCAACCTATGACCACCGGTTATCACCCAGTAACTGGTCCACATATATTTACAAGAGATGCGTCAATCCTATGACAGCATGTTAATGATAAGTGACGCTGTCAAACTTTAGTGACCGAAAGCTATAGTTCACACTTTAATGACATCATTCACTTTGCATTAAATATATCTTATCAAACTTCTTAAACAGGTGAACATCAACGAGCGCTCCTACTTCGCCTTCTCCTACTACGAGGGCGACATGGTTTCTTCGGTGTCCTACTGTGACCGCACCTTCAACGGCTGGTCACGAGACAAGACCATCAGGAACTGGTCCTGCTACACCGCCCAGAAGCACAACGCGGTACTGTACAGTATGTCTTGATTTTGTGATACGGAATAATTTATCTGCACCGTTGGCTGCTTCACTAGATGATGATAACCTTGGTCATGTTTATCCCTTTACTCCCTGTCCAGACGACTCCCCGAGTGACCCACAACCTGAAGAAGGCGTCGTCGACACAGCTCTTCAAGAACGACCATAAGATGATAGATGAGATCAACGACTCCCAGAATTCCTGGAGGGCCAAGGCCGACCCCCAGCACGAGAGGTGAGACTCATAAGAACATAAGAATGGAGGAAACTGCAGCGGGCCTATTAGCCCATGCATACTGGGCAGTCCAATTTACACCCAACCTCAATCGCTCATATATCCGTCCAACCTATATTTGAAGCTATCCAGCGTATTCGAGTTAATGATGATGTTTGGTAGCTGTTTCCACTCATCCACTACTCTATTTTCAAACCTTTGTTTATCTATCTCGCGCCTAAATCTAAATTTTTCCAATTTAAAACCATTGCTACGAGTTCATTCCGGGTTGGATAGTTCGAGTACCTTTGTTATATCACCTTTGTTTAGCCCTGACTTCCATTTGTTGTATACACCTCGATCATATCGCTCCTCACTCTCCGTCTCTGGGTAGACTAGTTTCCGACTCACTCTGGAGTAAACATCGTCAACTATTAAATAGTTCAATACACTTGTCCACAATACAAACTAACTAACTATAAATGTCTAACAAATCCATGCAACAAAACTATTACACATCTCCTTATATAAAAAGAGATACAAAGTTAACACTGGGATTATATGAACACCAGGATTAAAATAACACCAGGGGGATTAAATTAACACTAAGATTTGTTCTAACTCACGATGATAACACCAACCTCACACTAGGCATATCATCTACTGACCAGTGGAGCGTCGGCCACACAACAGAGACAGTCCGGCCCCCACCCCCGCCGCCCCTCCTCGTTACTTAGTCTGCCACCTCCACCACCACCTCCACGCCAGTAACTAGTGGTAAACTGCCTAACACTAGTCTTAACTATTTTAACTCTCTAAACTACCCCATTTCATCATTTTGTGGACAGTTCTCGTTATGTTTCGTTTGGTGATAACTCTACCAATGGACACCAAACATCCTTAGATGAGTAACGTTCACTCTACCAGTTCTCTTGTTCACACAAACGACACAGATACACTGTGGAGGAAATGTACCGACGTGCTGGCGGCCGTAGAACCATCAGTCACACACAGCCTAAACCTGCACCTGCCAGTCCTGAACAAAAGAGGCGCGCCGCCCTTCTGCCGGAGAACTTCGACTGGCGTGACGTTCAAGGCGTAAACTATGTGTCAGACGTGAGGGACCAAGAGTCCTGCGGCTCCTGCTACGTCTTCGCCTCCATGGGTATGTTGGAGGCCAGGGTGAGGATCGCCACCCGCAACCAACGACAGGACGTTTTCTCCACCCAGGTGAGTTTTTTTTTTTACGTTAGTCGTTACACAGATGAGAAGGTACTCAAGGGCCAGGTAGGCCAAGTGAGTGGCCAGCCAAGTTGTGGGATGACTAGGATAGTGGCCACCCGGTGAGCTGCTCCTCACTTCTACCTGCTGGACGAGTCATTTGTAACATGTTAAGTCTTTCTATTATACAAAAATGAAACATAAATCATACTGCACACTTTAAAGTTATTTTTTGTTCATATCTTATTACTTATTTCGTGTTACAGTAAAGTCCCATGCAGGAACAGCTCCTTACAGTAACGTAGTTCAAGGTTACAGTTCTCTGCATTAACGTCTTGAGGATACAGTTTTTGTAGTGGATAACTTTAGAAACAATATATAGTTATTCTTCATAAGATGGACGCTCTTTTTTATTAAGACAAAATATCACCTTTCTCACCCCTGATCATTATTGCCTAAAAATGTCATTAAAATCACACCCATAACATTTCAATCAACCTTTTTACTTTGAGAGAGTATTTATCTCCGGGTTATGAGTCTTAAGAACTACAGTCCGCTGAATATCATAACTAGTAAATATATACCCAAGGCCAAACCCAGTGCCTCTAGGAATACGAGGGGATCCCTACACATGAACCATGCGGCGGTCGACAAAGTTAAGAAGAAAACCCAGAAATTCAAGACGTGGGTTGGGTCAAACGATGAGCAGGACAGGAGGATGTATGCAAGAGCCAGAAACCAAGCAAAGATAGACTGTAGAAGGGCTGAAAAGGAGTTCCAGAGGCTGGTTGCAAGCGAGGTCAAGTCAAACCTAAAGGCGTTTTACCGCTATGCAAAGTCGAAATTAAAAACGCGAGTAGGGGTATCAGACATGAGGCTTGAAGATGGTAGTTAGGCAGATTCTGACCAGGATAAAGCTGAGGCATTGAACAGCTTCTTTTCCTCGGTGTTCACAAGAGAGGATGCGATTAACCTTCCTGCGTTTGAGGACAGACGGTTCGACACAGCACTGACCCACATTGTGTTCACAGAAGAGGGTATTATAAATAAACTGTCAAAGCTAAAGGTCCATAAGAGTCCCGGCCCTGACATGGTGCATCCTAGAACGCTAAGAGAGTTGTGCAACGAGCTTGCCGAGCCCCTGAAGATCCTGTTTTGTAAATGCCTGGATGAACAAATGGTCCCCAGTGAATGGAAAGTGGCTTAGGTGAGTCCTATCTTCAAGAAGGGCGATCGTCACTCCACGAACAACTATAGACCGGTGAGCCTGACCAGCATAATATGTAAAGTACTTGAGAGTATTATCAGAGATGCCGCAATGGAACATCTACGAAACAACCTTGTAAAGGATTGCCAACACGGTTTTATGCCGGGGCGCTCCTGCTTAACACAATCACTCAAGGTATTGGATATTTGGACCCATATATTGGAACTGGGTGGTAATATCGACAATATTTACCTAGATTTTGCCAAGGCTTTCGACAGTGTACCCCACGAAAGGCTGAAAATCAAACTGGAAGGGTACGGAATTCGGGGAAATGTCCTAGCGTGGATAGAAGACTTTCTACATGACCGCAAGCAGTGTGTGGTGATTAATGGTACGAAATCATCATCCGTACCTGTCACAAGCGGGGTACCACAGGGCAGTGTATTGGGCCCGCTGTTGTTTGTTTGTTTCATAAATGACATGCCTGACGTTGTACACTCCTCCATCCAAATGCTTGCCGATGACGCCAAGTTATTTCGGGAATCAAGAACCAAGCGGACTGTGAAGAGCTGCAGAAGGACCTCTGTGGGCTCCAAGAATGGTCGAAGAAATGGCTGCTGAGATTCAATGTCACGAAGTGTAAGAGGATGCACCTGGGGCGTACCAACGGTAAGGCGGCGTATCATATGTCCCAACGGGATGAAAAAACTGCACTAATTGAGACTGAATGTGAGAAGGACCTTGGTGTATATGTTGACAATGAGCTGAAGTTCTCGGGCCATTGCGAGAAGAAGGTAAATCAGGCAAATAAATTATTGGGTCTTATAAGAAGGTCGTTCAGATATCGTAACGATCTTCAGGAGTGAAGTGCTTCCCCATCGGGAGTACTGTCACCCCGTCTGGTCCCCAAGATATGCTAGGGACTGTCAGTTGGTTGAAAATGTTCAAAGGAGGGCCACCAGACTGGTGCCTGCACTTCGGCACCTCAGCTACCCTGAGAGTTTGGAGCGCCTGAACTTGTCTAGCTTATACTACAGACGGGCAAGGGTTGGCCTAATTGAGGTGTATACGCATCTCAAGGGGCACTACTCAGTCGAGTGTCCTTACTTGGAGCTGGCGGGCGCTCGCCCCACAAGGGGTCACAGCTCAAGTTTGAAGAAGCCGCAAGTCCAGAAAACTGTGAGGGCAAACCTTATCGGAGTGAGAGTTGTGAACTCTTGGAACAACCTACCAGAAAGTGTTGTGACGGCACCGACTGTGAGCTCTTTCAAGACCAGACTTGACCAACACTGGAGCAGGTTCAGGTACATTCAGGAGCCGGTGCATGCCCAGTACTTGCCAACAGTGCGTAACAGAGACGTGACCAATCGCCCAAGTGGCTAACGAGTCGATCATTTGGTGAGGAGTATAAAAGTAAGTACTAAATGGTTGTTTGTCTCCCGCAGGACATAGTGTCGTGTTCGGTGTTGTCTCAGGGGTGTGAGGGAGGCTTCGCGTTCCTGGTAGGTGGCCGATACTCCCAGGACCAAGGCGTCGCGGCTGAGGAGTGTAACCCTTATACTGGCGTGGTGAGTGAGACATGAGGAACCTCTACCTAGGGGAGGAACCTACAATACCCAGGGGAGGAACCTACACTACCCAGGGAGGGGGGAACCCACACTACCCAGGGGGAGGAACCTACACTACCCAAGGGGAGGAACCTACACTACCCAAGGGGAGCAACCTACACTACCCAGGGAGGGGGGAACCCACACTACCCAGGGGGAGGAACCCACACTACCCAGGGGGAGGAACCCACACTACCCAGGGGGAGGAGGAGAACAAGACGTAACCTGGGTGAAGATCAACACGACAATTTCAACCCCTAATTCACTTCTGATCCTTCACCTAACATAGATACAAATATTTCCTAACATAAACAGAAAATTAACAATCCCCCCTCCCCCCCTTTAGGACGACAAGTGTGACACGGACATGAGCTGCGCGCGCACCTACGTCAGCGAGTATGAGTATGTGGGAGGTTACTATGGCGCCTGCAACGACGCGCTCATGATGTTGGCCCTGGTGGAGAATGGCCCCATGGCGGTAGCTTTCATGGTCTACGATGATTTCCCAAGCTACAGCGGCGGCATTTACCACCATACGGACTCTGGCAACGGCTTTAATCCTCTGGAGGTACGAGACGTGGTTTTTGGTTAATGTTGTAGGTACTGAGTTAATAATAGGTGTTATCATTAAATTATATGACAAAACACCAAATTAAAAAACTCGTCCCATCCCGTTCCATCCCACTCATTAATTATCTCTGTCTTTCTCTCCCTTCCCATCCCATTTATGTTTTTATTTCATTCTCTCTTCCAGCCAACCAACCACGCGGTGCTGTTGGTGGGCTACGGTGTGGAGGCCGACACGGGAGAGAAGTTCTGGTCGGTAAAGAACTCCTGGGGCGGCAGCTGGGGCGAGGATGGTTTCTTCAGGATCAGGCGAGGAACCGACGAGTGTGGTATGGAGTCTGAAGCCCTCGAGTCCACCGTCATCCCCTGAGGAACATATTCAGCTTGTGAACCTTAACTCATGCATTTATACACTTTGTAGTACTGTATTAAATGAAATCAGTGAGCTTTTATGTTATTATACTTTCATTTATACCTTAAGTGAATAATGTTGTTTAAAAATTCAATTAAGTTTCAGTTCAGATACAGAATAAGAAAGTTAATACGAAAGTTTATAGAAAGTATTACTGGGAAATAATAAAATGTTTTTAATAGGATAGAAATAATACAGGTAATTATACCTGACAGGTATATCTGTTACACCTGTCACTTCTTTAATGCAACCACAAGATATACTGCTGATGTCACGCATGATTATAACCAAAACAACTTAGCTTCTCTTTAGTACAAACCCAACTAAAAGATCACAGGTGTATGCAAGTTGGGGACACAAGGAGGAATAATTAAGTATAACAGCTAATCAACCTTTTTCTATTACTAAACCATAAGAACTTAATGGGACAAACATAAATTTATATAAACAAAGACCAGAAGGGTAAGTGTGGTCCTTGTCGATGAAGCAAACCACAAAACAAAAGATAAATGTCATCTTAACTGTTTTCTTATATTTATATCTTCAGGAACACAAACACATAACAAACACATAACAAACACATAACAAACACATAACAAACACTAACGGAGAATAATACACTAGTAATAAGACTCTCATTTGACTTCAAGGATACAGGTTAAGAAGTAAGGAAAAAGGACAATATATTAAGTTACAATCATAAGAAGGAACCTCAAGATAAAGCTAATTAGAAACAATTTTATTTATGGGTTTAAGACGATAGATTTACATCGCTGGAGAGAGAAAACTGATGGTCTGACTCTTGGCATTAGGGGCTGAATATATACAAGAAGAGAAGGTTATAGATTTCCTTAAGCAGATCTGTTCTAAAACTCTCTTTTGATCTTATGTATAATGTAATCCAACAATAACAAACAAAATAACTTTCCTACTCTGACTGTCAATTAGATCTTGGACACCGAGGTCTTCAAAAGAGATGATATTGTCTAATTCTTTATCAAAAACACCAAATTGTATATCATCCATATAAACTGAACCATATAATATTAACAGGTATAATATCACAAAGTAGTCCTGTTGGTGGATGCTTGAGTCAGTTGAGTGCGGGTTTTTCATCACTGAACCAAACAGACTTTGATCAGTTAAAAATATGTTAATTATCGTAACAAATCAGCCGAAACAACACAAAAATATCCCCAAATAAATATAAAAATATCCAAAAATAAACATCCAAATATTCCAAAATAAACATTAGCAAGGACTTTCGTTAATAAACATATTATAATCAAGTCTTATCAGTAACAGTAAAAGAATTCGTGGGAACTATTTTAACGATAAACTAACTTGGTACTTAAATCACTTCACACGATACTTAAGAACTAAAAAACCCATAAACCACTTGTTGACATTCCCAGTTGACTTTTCAGGCAATAGTTTGAGTTACGTTCAAAATGGCTCCTCCAAACACTGGCCCGAGTCAAAACAAAATACCTCCATGACTTCTTCAGCAACAAGTGGGAGATAATGATGGTGTTGCTTGACGGATAACTTACCCAAATAATAACTTATATATGCAATATCCTGTGTTACTGTACTTAATTATTGTTGAAATTATAATGTATGTACTTGATGACTTTGTGTACCAGTTTGAAGGCTATGGAGTGTTGAAATACATTACGATATAGCTTTAACTCATAGAGAATATTTACCGAAGTTAATAGAATTAACAATGTAGGATCTGCAGTGACAATACGCCAAGGAAAGTGTATTAACTGTTTAAGGAAGAATTAAAAAGAGAAATAAGAGAAATAAACTGACAGAAAAATAGGTAGGTTATGATAGACAGAATGAGAGAGAGTAATGATAGCGAGAAGGAGAAGAAATAGATAAACTGACACACAAAACATAGTTGAAAATGAGAAAGATTAAAATGTATAGATTGACAAACAAAACAGTCAGATAGAGAAAAAGATAAACTTATAGACTGGCCGACGAAACAGTTACACAGAGATAAAAATAGAAAAGAATTTATATTTTTTGACAGGTGAAATGACTGAGAAAAACAGAGGGAGAGATACATCTATACAGCATATATAAAACAAAGAAGTCTGTCTGTCTGTCTGTCTGTCTGTTTGTGTGTCCGCACGAGAATCTGGGAAACTACTTTACCGATCTGTGGTGATGATGGGTGATGTTATATGTAGTGATGATGGATGGTGTTATATGTAGTGATGATGGATGGTGTTATATGTAGTGATGATGGATGATGTTATATGTAGTGATGATGGGTGATGTTATATGTAGTGATGATGGATGGTGTTATATGTAGTGATGATGGATGTTGTTATATGTAGTGATGATGGGTGTTGTTATATGTAGTGATGATGGATGGTGTTATATGTAGTGATGATGGGTGGTGTTATATGTAGTGATGATTAGACAATAAAATAATAACAGTTTAATGCTAAATAAATATACTTTGCTGTACCGTTGTTGTGAAAAACATGGTGGAACTTACATACACCGTTAATGAACTGTTGATGGAAGAAGAAGTTTTGGGGACTGAACAGTGAGACAATGTGGAGCCTCCCGGAGGGTGGCGTCCTACCGTTGCCTAGCGGATGCGCCGACCGTAAGGCGGCAATTCTTCTAGTAGACTATATAGAGAAAATATACAGGGGAGAGAGGATATAGGCAAGAGCAATACAAATAAGAGAAATAAAAGCGTCTGGCAACTTGAAGGTGGGGTATATAGTTCACATCACAGACACACTGATGCTCTCTTCTCTCCACATCACCAACCAACCACTCGTCAGTCTCGACTTTCCTTCTCCCACATAGAGAGATGCTGGTAAGGGGATTTAGCATATAATATTTACTCGGAAAATATATTGATTGAAACGTTGTAAGGACTCTATAAGATATTTGACCACACAGGCGGATGTGATATTTACCTTCACCACTAATATAAGTCATAATATTCACCATGTACAACTCACACGTCCCCCAGACAAGAGTTGTGTTGGCGTTGTGTTGCGTGGCGGTGGCCCTGGCGGACACGCCGGCCAACTGCCTCTACGAGGACGTCCGCGGCACCTGGACCTTCTCGGAGACGGAACGGACAGGCGACCACACCATCAACTGTGACGAGCTCGGCCCCATCGTCCACACCAAGACCTTCACCCTCAGCTTCCCCAACGTCGCCAAAGATGAGCTGAACAACGAGGGAACCTGGACCATGATCTACAACCAGGGCTTCGAGGTCAGCTGACGGTGTTTACTGTACTATAACTTGTCCACACTGCAATGATAACAATGTTCTCCGGTTCAAACGTGTATGATTATAATATTATAAGCTAGCTGCAGGGAGTTAATCTTCCTCAAAGTTTTAATAAATCAGTAATATGATTTTACGTGAATAATGCCACATCAGGTAAACATCAACGAGCGCTCCTACTTCGCCTTCTCCTACTACGAGGGCGACATGGACTCTGCGGTGTCCTACTGTGACCGCACCTTCAGCGGCTGGTCACGGGACAAGACCATCAGGAACTGGTCCTGCTACACCGCCCAGAAACTAAACAAGGTACTGAATATTGTTTTTTATTATGCTCAAGTATACGATGAGACATAAATGACTTTATTTAACCATTTCTCCTTATGCCTTGTTCAGACAGCTCCCCGTGTTACCTACAACAACCTGAAGGCGTTGTCTACCCGACTCTATAAGAACGACCACAAGATGATAGAGGATATCAACGCCTCTCAGAGCTCCTGGAGGGGGAAGGCCTACCTCCAGCACGAGAGGTGAGACTCCTAGCTGGGGTAGACTTGAAATTCATAGTTGAGGCAGGCCCCGTGGACCATTAGAGGGGAACAATAAAACCTGAAGTGTAGTTCAGACCTCGGAGTCGTGACTGAAGATCCTGACAGTAATATTATCCATAAGTTAAGAGTTTGTATCCTTTGAGATGTCTTCACTTGAACACTTTGGTATTCAAATGTATAGGCTATCAAATATTACCTCATATGTTAAACGCTTCATCTGATGACTCGCTCTCGTAATATATTAAGATAAAAATTAAGATTAGAAGGATATTATTTCACATTACTAATTACGTTATTATCACAGGCAATTCGATGATGAGACAATGGCACTAAAAGGCGGTTTTTCTGAATAGTATATAAGTCAGTTATTAACACACGACACAGCTACACTGTGGAGGAGATGTACCGACGTGCTGGAGGCCGCAGAACCATCCGCCACATACAGCCTAAACCTGCACCTGCCAGTCCTGAACAAAAGAGACGCGTCGCTGCCCTCCCGGAGAACTTCGACTGGCGTGACGTTGACGGCGAGAACTATGTGTCTGATGTGAGGGACCAAGGCGCCTGTGGCTCCTGTTACATCTTCTCCTCCATGGGTATGATGGAGGCCAGGGTGAGGATCGCCACCCGCAACCAACGACAGGATGTTTTCTCTCCACAGGTAAGAAAATAATAATGAGTGACCGACCAGGTGTCATATTTGAGAGAGCAACAATATCATGACTTAAGATGGATGAATCACGGTATGTATTGATGGCTAGTGTAGAGGAACTCTATTAGTATAAGATAAGTGAATTTCTATAATAAAGACCGCGAATCTCTAGGTCTTATATGATATATAAAGTAAATGACTAACTTTGGTAATGAGAGTTTCAGACTAAATGTGGTTTAGTAACTCGTAATCTTAATGACAATATATTTATTATAATAAGTATTTACTATACAATTAACCAAATAAATTACTGGAAATAGCTGCTACCTTCCGCTGCCAAGGATGCTTCATGCCTGGCTCTGCCGCCCTTACTACTCCTCACTCCCCTGCTGAACCAGTGAACGAAACAGTTTCGCTTATACAGCTGTATGAATTATGTCAATAAATCCTGACAGAATGAATGAGACATCATACGCAGAAGTAGGATTTTTTCTTTTGTTTCTGTTTATGAGATTGTTTAGAGGTACGACAATGTTACACCAGTTTGTTCTCCGTAGGATGTAGTGACGTGTTCCAAGCTGTCTCAGGGCTGTGAGGGAGGCTTCGAGTACCTTGTAGCCGGCCGGTACGCCCAGGACCAGGGCATTGTGGCCGAGAAGTGTAACCCTTATAAGGCAGAGGTAAGGAACACAGGCCTGAGTCTCACTTTCCAATTGAATATAAACCCCTGAAATCAGCATGCTCTTCATCTCAAGTAACTCAGGGTAAACACTGACCACAATATGCAGTACAATTTTCCTTCATAGTGTTCCGAGACACAACCCACAAATACAACATGGTTCACTCACAGGACGGCCCCTGCAACAGAGACCTGAGCTGTGAACTCACCTATGTCAGTGAGTACGACTACGTGGGCGGCTTCTTCGGCGCCTGTAACGAGGAGGTCATGATGCTGGCGCTGGTGGAGAACGGCCCCATCACCCTGGCCTTTATGGTCTACGATGACTTCATGAGCTACAGCGGCGGCATCTATCACCACACTGGCCTCAGCAATGGCTTCAACCCGCTGGAGGTATGTGTATGTGACGTGTTGTGTTGTTACCGTACAATGTATAAACATGCTGGACGTGTCTGCGTAGATTGTCTCTCTCTCTCTCTCTCTCTCTCTCTCTCTCTCCCTCTTTCTCTCTCTCTTAATCGGATGCTCTTCTTATATATAACAATAATTAATCTCTATGTTTGCCTAATATCTGTCACGTATCATCCAGTCTCAGTAAGATATGGGAAAGCGATTATTGATTTTTTTCCTCACCGAAGACGTAAGTAGATCAATGGTCCAGTTGACATGTTATACTTATTGTGTTGACGAGGGAAGACAGTCACAGAACATGTCGAGAGCGGCCTTTGGTACAGTCAGCACCTGGGAGGAGGTTTCATCAACACTTTGTCGATGACGTCATGTTTCGAAGTCAATAGAGATTCTTGTGTCATTCCACTCCACTTTTCTCACGTGCAGGACACCAACCACGGGGTGTTATTGGTGGGTTACGGTGTCGAAGCTGAAACGGGAGAGAAGTTCTGGTCGGTGAAGAACTCCTGGGGCCCCAAGTGGGGTGAGGAAGGTTACTTCAGGGTGAGGCGAGGCACCGATGAGTGTGGCGTTGAATCTGAAGCCACCCAGGTCACCGTCATCCCCTGAGAAGCCACCCAAGCGACCACCATCCTCACCGTCATCCCCTGAAAGCCACCAGTCCTGACCATCATCCTCCGAGAAGCAGGTCACCGTCATGAGAAGCCACCAGGCGACCACCATCCTCCGCGACCACCATCCTCCGATCTGAGAAGCCACCCAAGCGACCACCATCCTCCTAGAAGCCACCCAGGCGACCACCATCCTCCGAGAAGCCACCCAGGCGACCACCATCCCCTGAGAATTATTACCTCATGATGCATAATGGAATAAACTATTAAAATTACCAAGTTGACTTTGAATTAGTTATGTTTTATTAATACCTTGTGTGAGAGGTAAGGGAGGGAGCAGTAGTGTTTCCTCCCTGTGTCTGTAAAGGTCTGTGTAGAGAGTCACGTGTTGATGATAACAAAACAAAAGTCACATACCAATAATCTAGGACATTGTGTTTCATCTTCATTAACTAATCTTCCATTTATTATTTTAGACAATGAAAAAATTAGTTTTTGATCAGTATTTAACGAATGAATTATATATTTAGCATCAAAAAGTATGGAATTATAGACCAGATTAGAGTCACTATATTGAGTTAGTGTTTATTATGAGTTACGAGCTTTGGACTTGGGAAGTATAGTTGTGACATATAACTTAATAATAACTTCACTGACTGTAAGGTAATTTGGTGTCCAGATTATACAGTATATTATCACTACAGTATATCATTTAACTTAACCTACCTAAACTACTCTACTCTACCCTACCCTACCCTACCCTACCCTACCCTACCCTACCCTACCCTACCCTACCGTGATTTTATTATAGATATTCCCCCCCTTGTCTAATACCATGCTGAGGTTTGCTGGAATGTTAAAAAAATAAATAAATAACGAGATGGAACTTTTTTTTAAATATAGAATACAAAAGAAAAAAACAATATGGGCGTGTGTAGTCATTTCTGGAACTACAGTATGATAGTGTCTTCTAAATCAGGGTTACAGAAGAGACTCCAGGTAATTCAGGGTTACAGAAGAGACACCAGGAGGAATGGGAACAAATGTGTGGTGGGAGCGAAGCCTTCTGTGGTTACCCGTTATTATCTCTATCTGCTATAGACAAGGGACGTGGGAATTACTCAAATCGTATCATTGTACTTAAAATATTTCTCACTCTCTCTAAACAACACCGCCACAGCTCTTGAATTGGCTCTCTGTCTCTCTCTCTCTCTCTCTCTCTCTCTCTACAGTATTGCCGACAACTTATAAAACAAAGATTCTTTAACTGTGTTACAACATGATGCATATTGAAATTCGATTTGTTTTCTGGACACGCGACTTGTGTTGGTATCAGTTGTTCTATAGCAGCAATAATAATAATAATAATAATAATAATGATAATAATAATAATTATAATAATAATAATAATAATAATAATAATAATAATAATAATAATGATAATAATAATAATAATAATAATAATAATAATAATAATAATAATAATAATAATAATAATAATAATAATAATAATAATAATAATAATAATAATACTAATAATAATAATAATAATAATAATAATTAATAATAATAATAATAATAATAATAATAATAATAATAATAATAATGATAATAATAATAATTATAATTAATAATAATAATAATAATAATAATAATAATAATAATATAATAATAATAATAATAATAATAATAATAATAATAATAATAATGATAATAATAATAATATAATAATAATAATAATAATAATAATAATAATAATAATAATAATTAATAATAACAATAATAATAATAATAATAATAATAATAATAATAATAATAATAATAATAATAATAATAATAATAATAATAATAATAATAATAATAATAATAATAATAATAATAATAATAATAATAATAATAACAATAATAATAATAATAATAATAATAATAATAATAATAATAATAATAATAATAATAATAATAATAATAATAAAGACTATAAATACCTAATATATAGGAAAGAAACCCCCTCGATGTGTGATTGAAATTTTGTTGAGTAGTCGCTAGATGGCTCTGTGTCAATATCAAAAGAGATGTAATCAACATGCATATACGTTGGAAACTTATACTTTGATATGAATATGAGAAAATAAAATTATATACATGTTATAAATATATTAACATGTATGTACCTCAAAATGTGTATTATAAATAATTTATAGTTCAGGGTACAGTACATATGATTAAATATATTGAAATGTCTAGCACCGAGAGCATCTGAACATACCTGACCTTAGTTACCTTGGTAGCGTTCCTGTGGCGTCAACAGATGGCGCCACTGTGAGACACACCATTTAATGTTGCTCTTTAAACCTCCGCAGTGGCAAGTGACGGTGTTCCTTCAGTGATGTGGATATTATTGAAAATTTTGATAAAGACATAAAGCATTTGAGTTGTGTGAGTCTCTCGTGTAATTTGGTAAGAAAAGAGTGAAGGTGTAGAGGAGGGTGGCCACCAGAAGAGTTGTCCGAATTGGTTAAACAAATTCTACTCACCAATATCATGTTGGGTCAGGGTCTATTAGGTTCTATGCATTATCCTGTTAATTTATGTGTTAAGTAACTTACCTTGATATATCGGCAATGGCGAGAAGGAATACGTGGAAGCGTTCATCATTTATAGGACCCGTCTCTTGAACAGGGCTTGAGCGAGGTAAAAAACAAAAATGGCGCCAGGGGAGAATTGTGAAGCGGGATAGAGTAAATAAAAAGAGTGTCAGGTTCTATTAGGTTATATGCATTGTCGTTTCCATTTTTGTGTTTAATATCATGATTAGTGTTTATAACAAATTTCAACTAATCCGGACAATACCTTCTTGTGGTCACCTTCTTCTACACCTTTACCAAGAAAAGAACTTGTTATAAGTGTGGTAATGGCGTACAATACTTTATAGAGGATATAAGCATTGTCTGTGTTCTACTCATCAGTGAACCACCTACAGGTACCTAATCATTTCACTGTAACTAATGAATATTCCAGACTACTAATAATTTTGTTTTGTAATTTTCCAGTGTACAGTGTAGTATGTAATTCTGTGCAAATTTTTTTTTCTGTGGTTTTACTGAGAAGTTGAAAACAGTTCACGGCAAATACTTTACGTGAAGTTAGGTTAGAACAATTGCCTCAAGAAAATCAGAAATCTGTTTTAATGTAAAGTGTACAGTAAAATGTGGAAACTTGTAATGTTCAGAATATTGAAAAGTGTCTGAAAAACAGAGTGAAATGTGTAAATTAACATTAAAAGACGTGGTCCAATTTTGTAGTAAACACAGCGAGTGAAACAGTTCCATACCTTCCCGCCGCTGGCTGGTGGTGGACGGCTACATGTCACTTGGGTCCTATTTCAGTATTTGTTTGTTGAATTTCGTGCATAAGGGATTTTAGTGACTGCAGTGAGTGACGAGTGACGCTATAGTGAGTGACACATGACGCTATAGTGGATGACGAGTGATGCTATAGTGAATGACGAGTGACCTTATAGTGAGTGACACGTGACGCTATAGTGGATGACGAGTGGCGCTATAGTGAATGACGAGTGACCTTATAGTGAGTGACACGTGACGCTATAGTGGATGACGAGTGGCGCTATAGTGAATGGCGAGTGACCTTATAGTGAGTGACACGTGACGCTATAGTGGATGACGAGTGGCGCTATAGTGAATGACGAGTGACGCTATAGTGAGTGACACATGACGCTATAGTGGATGACGAGTGATGCTATAGTGAATGACGAGTGACCTTATAGTGAGTGACACGTGACGCTATAGTGGATGACGAGTGGATAGTGAGTGACACGTGACGCTATAGTGGATGACGAGTGATGCTATAGTGAATGACGAGTGACCTTATAGTGAGTGACACGTGACGCTATAGTGAATGACGAGTGACGCTATAGTGAATGACGAGTGACCTTATAGTGAGTGACACATGACGCTATAGTGGATGACGAGTGATGCTATAGTGAATGACGAGTGACCTTATAGTGAGTGACACATGACGCTATAGTGGATGACGAGTGATGCTATAGTGAATGACGAGTGACCTTATAGTGAGTGACACGTGACGCTATAGTGGATGACAAGTGACGCTATAGTGAATGGCGAGTGACCTTATAGTGAGTGACACGTGACGCTATAGTGGATGACGAGTGACGCGATAGTGAATGACGAGTGACCTTATAGTGAGTGACACATGACGCTATAGTGGATGACGAGTGATGCTATAGTGAATGACGAGTGACCTTATAGTGAGTGACACGTGACGCTATAGTGGATGACGAGTGACGCTATAGTGAATGGCGAGTGACCTTATAGTGAGTGACACGTGACGCTATAGTGGATGACGAGTGGCGCTATAGTGAATGACGAGTGACGCTATAGTGAATGACGAGTGACGCTATAGTGAATGACGAGTGACGCTATAGTGAATGGCGAGTGACCTTATAGTGAGTGACACGTGACGCTATAGTGGATGACGAGTGACGCGATAGTGAATGACGAGTGACCTTATAGTGAGTGACACGTGACGCTATAGTGGATGACGAGTGACGCTATAGTGAATGGCGAGTGACCTTATAGTGAGTGACACGTGACGCTATAGTGGATGACGAGTGACGCTATAGTGAATGGCGAGTGACCTTATAGTGAGTGACACCAACTCCTGCCTTCATGTTTGCTATTTAATCATTTGCATCATCTGGCGGACAGGTAAACATTACATTCACCTTGACAATGTTTGCTGTTCGATTCTTTATAATAATTTTACGATTGTTATTTGTTATGATTTCTTCACCTCCTTATCATTTCCAGACGCCTCTTTTAAATCTCTTTTTTATTTCTCTTGGGTCTTTGATCTCACCGACTCCTCTTGAATAGTGAAATAAACAAAGACTTTTACGTCAAAGAATGAGGAGGAAAAATACCTTACGACTTTTGGGTGAGATGCTGAGTGTGTGTGTGTGTGTGTGTGTGTGTGTGTGTGTGTGTGTGTGTGTGTGTGTGTGTGTGTGTGTGTGGATGGATGGATGGATGGATTGTTTTTCTTTGTTTCTTTATCAGTGATAAAGTTAGTACAGTAATATACATAACATGATTGTGGCAGATATACGGCCGTAACCAGAAAACATTTTATTTTATTTTTCTATTTCCAATTTGGGATAAATGGTTATACAGGCCTGACAGTTGTTGTGAGTTGGATTACACAGTGAAGTATTCCCTGGTCCTCTACGGCGGGGGAAAATCCGTTCAGCTCGATATATTTTTCCCCTCATATTAGAATGGCAGGTGACAAGCAAAACCATTTTATACCGGGAAACAGTGCAAGGTATTTTTATTTATCAATATGTATATACAAATTACGAAAGTGTAATAATCTTTCAATTGAGGGATATAATAATTCAGTATATTACTGTATGGATGTTGTAGCTAAGTGAAGAATTGAATTAATTTACTCAGACTTTGGTTCTTATATGCTAAGATTGTTTCCCTCCTGATCGCTAATAAGGGGTGGCTTTCCTGATGATATAAAACAGAATATAACCTAACCTTAACCCCATTAGACAGCATTAGAGTATTTAAATATTCATCAGGTGAAATAAGCGAAGGTTTTTCTTAAGATAATACAAATATAATAGATATAGGTGTAGACAGCATCATAAGAAAATTTGCTGATGACACTAAAATAGGGTGTGTAATGACTCCGCAAAACTACAGGAAGATCTAAAAAAAAATGAATGGTCTGCAAAATGGCATATGGAATTCAATGTGGACAAATGTAAAGTACTTAGTCTAAGAGACGTAAACAGAAAAACCAGGTACCAGATGAACAACGATGTTATAGAGAAATCCGATTGTGAGAAAGATTTAGGAGTAATGATAAGTAGTAATCTTAAGACAAGTAAACAATGTGTATTTGCTCGAAACAAGGCTAATAAGGTACTTGGGTTCATACAAAGGAGTGTTACTTACAAGACTAGCGAGGTCATCCTAAAACTATATCTTGCGCTTGGATTACGCAAATCAGTTTGGTCACCGTATTACAGAATGGATATAGAATCCCTAGAAAGAATTCAGAGGAGAATGACAAGACTAATCCCTGGCATTAGGAACCTTGAGTACAGAGACAGGTTAAAGCATCTTAATTTGCACTCCCTCGAGAGACGTAGAGTGAGGGGTGATATGAAAGAGGTGTATAAATGGAAGTCAGGAATAAACAAAGGTGACATTACAAAGGTACTTAAACTATCCAACCAGGAGCGAACTCGTAACAATGGTTTTAAAATAGATTAATTTAGATTTAGGCGTGAAATTGGTAAACATTGGTTTGAAAATAGAGTAGTGGATGAATGGAACAAGTTACCAAACATCAACATTAACTCGAATATGCTGAATAGCTTCAAACATAGGTTGGATGGATATATGAGCAATAGGTGTTGGGTGTAAACGGGACTGCCCAGTATGGGCCAATAGCCTGCTGCAGTTTGCTCCATTCTTATGTTCTTAAAGCATTGACACCTTCTCGATGCTCCAACAGTTGGTGTCAGTTACAATATTGCATTTGTTCTCTTGTATTCCCAATGATCTCGGAGGATGGAACATAAACTACGTTGGGGAAAGTTTTCAAGTGCCTTGAGGTGCCTCCTGTATGTGACCCATGTCTCGCTGCCATACAGCAGAGAGAGGAGGACCACTGCTTGATACACGTTTAGCTTTGTAGATAATTTCAGCTCCCTACAGCTGAAGACATCGATAAAGAGTCTGCCAAAAGCTTGAGATGCACATCTGATCCGATGTTGATTCTCTTCATTGATGTCCGCGGTGGTGGACAGATGGGAGCCAAGGTACCGTTAATCTGCATGGATGGTGGAGGTGTTGCTGAACCAGGGGCAGGCTGAAAGAGAATCTGAGTCTTACGTGCATTCACCTCAAGGCCAAAGTGTGCATATGAGTGTGAGGTCGTCTGCATACGGAAATTCAGTGTGGAAGCGGCCGACACCTTTGCTCCTGGAGTCGTCTTATGTTGAAAAGACCCTTTATTTAGTACTGGAAGTTCACCCCGCCGGCTAAATTGGCACTGGCACGAGTAAGGAAGGCAGCCAAGAAAATGGAAAAGAGAGTTGGTGCCAGTACACACCCTTGTTTAACCCCTGTTTGGATGGGGAAGAACTCAGACTGGGTGCCATTGTGTAGGACACTGCTGTTCATGCCATCGTGGAGTTGCCTCACGATGGCAATGAATTTTGGTGGGCAGCCAAAACGACTGAGGGTCTGCCAGAGGGCTTCCCTGTTGACTGAGTCGATGGCCTTAGTAGGATCAATGAAAGCCATGTACAAGTCACGACATTACTCACTGCACTTTTCCTGTATCAGGCGGGCAGTAAAAATCATATCACTGGTGCCCTGTGATGGTCTAAAGCCACATTGAGATTCTGGGAGGAAGTTTTCCGCCTCAGGAAGAAGTCTGTTTAGGAGGACTTGGGCGATAGTATTGCTAGCTACGGACAGCAGTGAGATCCTGTGGTAGTTGCTACAGTCTGACCGATCTCCCTTATTGGGGGATTTCCTCCTCCTCCCATATACTGTATTCTTCAGGAGTGAGTGGAGACGGCTAGTAAGAAGAGGTCTTCCTGCTTTCTACACCTCGGCTAGGATTCCAACAGGCCCCGTGGCTTTGTTATTTTTCAGCAGCTCGATGGCAGTAGCTACTGTACTTCATCCGGGGATAGAGGATAACTGAGGTGGGTCAGCTCTGGGTGCTGAGGAACCTGCTGGGTAGTCAGGAAGTCCACATCAGTGTTTCCGTTGAGCAACTAATGGGTAGTGCTCTTTCCAGCGCTGACGGATGCCTTCTTCGTCTTTAATTAAGGAGTTACCATCGGATGGGCGGAGGGAGGTCACGCATCCTGTGTTGATTTGCGAATTTTTGCATTATACAAGCTTTATTTTTCCACCATACGTTCATTAGAGTACGAAGTTCGTGCTGGACCACCATTTCTTCTCGCGGAAGGTATCAGCTTTGATCCGAGTTTTAGGGTGGTCCTGCCAGTCAGTGAGAGCAGCACATTTACTATTGATGAGTACTTCGATTTCCGGGTCCTTTTTATCGAACATTAGACGCATTACATCACCCTGTGCACACACACACACTATAACTAGAAAATTAACACTTAAAACTACGATCTTCAATTCAAGTAGAAGAGAGAGAGAGAGAGAGAGAGAGAGAGAGAGAGAGAGAGAGAGAGAGAGAGAGAGAGAGAGAGACTATGTGGGAGGGAGTCAAGGAAGGTCATTGTATACTTGACTATTGAAGGAATGAATGGTGGTGAATGTCTGGATGCCATATCTCTTTATATACGGAGACAGAGAGAGATGATACGAACGGGGAAGTGGAGAGAGAGAGTGAGAGTCTTAGTTCAGTTAAAAATGGAGTAAGAGAAAACAACCGGATACTAAGAATTATAATAAACAATGCAATACAGATAAGAGTTACAAATACACAAGGAAAAACTAATGGGAAAGAATAATTTTGATACAAGAGGAAGAAAAAATGAAACAAACTTTAAACTGAAGAAAAGAAAACACGGGGAAGAAAAATGATCTATTGATAAGTTAAATGATGGAATACTGGACCTATTTTGACGACTGTGGGAGTGAAAATAGGCAGGTGGTCCATGAAAGAGTGAGAGAGAGAGAGAGAGAGTTGGAAAGGAGAGAGAGAAAGTGTGTGTGTGTGCGCGCGCGTTAGAGAGTGAGAGAGAGAGAGAATCGATATATTGAGTGAGAGACAAACCCAGAGAAATAGAAAGAAAGAGACAGAGAAATGCAATTTATGAAAGTAATTGTGGATGGAGTTTTGAAAGGAAATGTGAATCATTATTTTGTGTTTTTTTTTCTCACAATGAAGGAACTTGTATTGAACGGGAACACCTGCCAGTTAGTATCCCGACCAATTGCCAGTTTGTCGAAATCATTTTAGGTAATTATTCGGGTCGCCTGATTATTAATTACCACCTATTTATTCCACCTTAACATTAATCACTCTAACTCTAACCTAACCCAAACTAACTTATTCTAACCTAATATAATCTAACCTAACCCCTCCAGGTAGCGTTAAGGTGCTTAATCATCAGGTGAAATAAGGTAGGGGGCTAATCTTCAGGTGACCCAAGTTAATTTCCCCCTTAACCGGAACAAAGTACACGCGTATATCTGTAGTTGAGTCTTTATGTGATTATAATAAACCTCTTCGATATTTTTGTATCTTAAAGTTTGACATTTAAAGCCGAGTTAAATTCTCACTTCAAAGAAAATTTTAACTTACGGACTTTTGAGAATTCGACCATAATATTCGTTCACAATTATAAACGTAAAGCAAAACCTGTTATTAATGTAATGATTGAGTCTCAGGTGAGGTGGATATATTAATTAAGGCAGGTAAATCAAGGTTACTATAAGCCAATATTAGTGGAGAGTGAACAGCCGAACTCTTGTGGCGAGAAAACTTTCGAAATGAATCATGGAATTTTTATCAACAAAACCGATTAACATAATGCCAAGGACATGATGAATATGTTGAGAGCGGCTACATGACCTCTGGGTGTGTGTGTGGGTGTGGGTGTGTGTGTGTGTGTGTGTGTGTGTGTGTGTGTGTGTGTGTGTGTGTGTGTGTGTGTGTGTGTGTGTGTGTGTGTGTGTGTGTGTGTGTGTGTGTGTGTGTCCGTAGTATACATATGGTATTGGTAGGACAGCCATAAGGATGAACTAAGCCAGAGATGACATAAACATCACGCTGATCACTAAAGTTTTGGAATAATGTTATACTTCGCTGATATAACGACAGTTTTCTTATTGTATACTATCCTAACCTAACCTAATCTAACCATACCTAACCTAAAACACACACACACACACACACACACAGTCAACACAATCTTTGAGACTGGCAGGTAAAGTAGTGTGACGGCGAGATTGATTGAGAAGCTGAGATGCAAGCGGGCAAAGTTGCAGGTGGGAGGGAGGGAATGAGGAGAGAGAGAGAGGGAGGAGAAGGAGAAGAGAAGGGAGAGTGTCACTGGCACCGGGGAGGGGTAGAGAGGAGAGGGTCTTGGTGATGCCGGGTTGGGAGGGCGGGGGGGAGAGAGAGAGACGGGCGGCCAGAGCTTCAGTGTGTGAGTGTAGCTCAGTGGTGAGGTTGGTGAGCAGCTTACGTCCCTGCCCCTCCTCTCTCTCTCTCGCTCGCTTAGTTCTCTCCTCATCCCTCACAATACAAGTCAGCTACCTTGGCTAGTCTACGTGAGGAGGCTTCGGCAGGAGTTAAAAAAAAATCCCCCTTCGTCGGTACAATTCCTCAACGGAGAGACAAAAAAACATAAGGTAAAATTCAAATAATAATATTGGGTTAACTTTCTTTAACTCTTTTACGTAATCGATAATAAGGAATTTCATCATTAACCCCCCCCACCCCCCCCTCGTCTCCCTCCACGTGTCAGACAAGACAACAGCAGAGAGAGAGAGAGAGAGATTTGATAATTATAACAAACTTAGAAAATTAAGAAAACATGAACTAGAAACGAGACAGTGGGAACTTTAAGATACGTGTACATAAACAAGGATAATTGTGACTACTTACGGCGTTTAGTTCTGCAAGCAAGAAAGTCACATAAACGACTAGATTAACTTCTACATTTGTCGCTTTATAGAGAAACGACAACTGAAAGAAAGAGAACATCCTTTGGGGGAATAAATTAGTGGTTGTAGGATGTTCTGAGGATTAGGATCACAGATTAAAGGATACAATACCCTACACTTATAGGGATCTGAAGGGTCTTATATCAAGGTCTTATATCCGTTTATCTGTGTATAACAAGATCAAGTTTATCTACACATGACTGAGAGAAGAGCCAGCACCGGTATGGACTGACTACTAATTGAAAGGTATGGTGAAGGTGACTTGTGGAAGGTGTTTGTTGTTAAGTTGGGAGACGAACCGAGTCGGCTGTAGATCAACTTACTTGATCCTAACCTAACCTAATCTAACCTAACTTAACCTAACTTAACCTAACCTAACCTAACCTAATCTAACCTAACCTAACCTAACCTACACATGAGTGGTGGTAACTGAGAAATAATCCCTCAGTATTGTAGGAGTTATTGACCCTCGTTCAGTCCTCCCGCTTCAGAGGATTACGCGTGTGGATGAAGGATTTGTTAGGATATATATGAAACCCTCACCGAGCAGTAGGATAATTTTGGAATCCTTTGTTGTGATGCAGGATGACCACTGATATTTTAGGATGGTTAACAGCACTTTGGAATGGCCACTAAGACCGTATGATGGCCACAAAGACCGTATGATGGCCCCGTAGGGGGCACTAAGACCGTAGGATGGCCACTAAGACCTTAGGGTGGCCATAGGGTGGTCACTAAGACCGTAGGATGGCCACTAAGACCTTAGGGTGGCCACAAGGACCGTAGGAAATCTACTAGGACCGTAGGATGGCCATTAGGACCGTAGTATGGCCATTAGGACCATAGGGTGGCCATTAAGCCGTAGGATAGCCAATAGGACCGCAGGATGGCCAAAGTTATCACTTGCTTAACAATAATTACCTCCAATTCCGGAATAATCAGGGATACAACTTAAGACACCCAGAGCTACTAAGACCACCCCCCATGCGCTCCTCTGTCCCAGACCTCCATAAAATATCACGGTGTGAAGGTGTGGAACAACTTACCCCCACCCATTCGAGCAAAAACTACGCTCCCTTCCTTTAAATCATCTCTTAAGAAATATCTATTGTCTAAGTATTAATATTTTGGGTAATACTTGCTTTTATTCCTGCTTTTATTGTACCACCAAAACCGTTTTATCAGAAATTGTCATATAGATACTGGAGATAGAAATTACCATTACAATAAATATATTTGCCAACTAGACACATAGTGACCTCTGTGTCCCCTTGTTCCGCCGTAACATAACCCATGCTGTACTACTTCCCTCCAGTATCATATTTATGTACATCAACTCCACTGTAAAGTATGTACAGTATATACTTATAAATGTAAAAAAAAATAAAATAAAATAAATCAAATAAATAACGAAGTGATAACCGTGGTAACATGTTCTTATTACCACCATGCTATGTGTACTATTCCAGATGATACTAAATGTTACATAATACTTTCTTGAGATAAATGTTCAGTATATATCAGGTGCCTACAAGAGAGTCAGCCATGTTAATATTGTTATTATTATCGACTCTGTCTCTGTGTTCTTCTGGCTCAATAAACTGTTTCAATATCAGTATCAATAACTAAGACCGTAGGATGGCCACTATGACCGTAGGGTGGCCACTAGGACCGTAGGGTGGCCACTAGGGCCGTAGGATGGCCACTATGACCGTAGGATGGCCACTAGGACCGTAGGATGGCCACTAGGACCGTAGGATGACTACTAGGACCGTAGGGTGGCCACTATGACTGACCACTAGGACCGTAGGATGGCCATTGCCACTTTAGAATGGCCTATAACCATTACCCCCTTCCCCTTCTCGCTCCCCCTTCCCTTACTCCCCCCAGAAAATATAAACTTTTTGTCGAAATTTCGTAGATTTTTACTCATGATTTTTTATTTATTTTTAATCTCTTATCATTTACATAATGTTTATTTGTTTTTTATCATGGAAACAAAAAATAAGGAAAAAATAGTTGCATTGTAATAATTTGTAAAGCATTTTTGGGGGTCTCGTAAAGATCTAATGTTGTTGACTGTTTATTATTATTATTATTATTATTATTATTATTATTATTATTATTATCGTCGTTATCATCATTATATTCGTCGTTGTTGTCATTATTATTATTAATATTATCATCATCTTATCATTCCTCTACCTTTATCAACTTCTTCCTTCACCTTTATCTTATAATATCTTGTGGTGGCGTCTTAACACCTCGGGAAAGACCATTTGGCAACCACCAGGCCGGCATGTTTGTAAACAGTCTCCAGCAGTGTGTATTGACGGGAGTATAAGCAAACTTGTATGTTTAGTATCTTTTGTTTTCATTCGTATTCAAGTATAGAGGCAGTGTGTGTGTGTTATATTTCTAGTGGGGAGGAGTAGGGTTTAGATATCTATTTCCACGTGGGTAATTACATGTTTTGGGGGTGTAGGGGGTGAGTGTGGGGGTTATGTGGGGAGATTGTGTGTGTTGGTGGGGGGTTGTGTGTGTGTGTGTGTGCGTGCGTGTGTGTGTGTGTGTGTGTGCGTGCGCGCGCGTGTGTGTGTGTGTGTGGAATTTGTAGAGTTATTCTTTTATGATTTATGTAACTCCATTTAATTTAGTCTTTGTTTTTTCTTACGGGGAATAGTCCACCCGGGCACAGGTCACCGACCCACAACGGGGCCTGGGTGCGAAAAAATAAGAGTCAAAAGTAATTGAAAATAGAAGAGAAAAATACTGTATTAATCTACACCACGAAGATGCCGGAAGACCAGCTTTTTGAAGTGCCAATAACGTCACTCGTATGTGGGGAAAATTTGATAGATAGATAGATAGATAGATAGATAGATAGATAGATTGATAAATAGATAGATACATAGATTGATAAATAGATAGATAGATAGAACAAACATAAGAATGGAGGAAACTGCAGTGGCCCATTGGTCCATACTGGGCAGTCCAGTTTACACCCAACCCCTATCGCTCATATATCCGTCCAACCTATGTTTGAAGCTATCCAGCGTGTTCGAGTTAATGATGATATTTGGTAACTTGTTCCACACATCCACTACTCTTATTTCCAAACCAATGTTTACCTATCTCGCGCCTAAACCTAAATTTGTCTAATTTAAAACAATTGTTATCAGTTTGCTCCTTTGTTTAGCCTGACTTCCATCGTATCACCTCGATCATATCGCCCCTCACTTTACGTCTCTCGAGGGAGTGCAGATTAAGATGCTTTAATCTGTCTCTGTACTCAAGGTTCCTAATGACCGGGATTAGTCTTGTCGTTCTCCTCTGAATTCTTCCTAGGGATTCTATATCCATTCTGTAGTACGGTGACCAGAACTGAACTGCGTAATCTAAGTGAGGTCTGACAGTATATAGTTTTAGGATGACCTCTTGTAACTAACACTCTTTGTATGACCCCAAGTACTGTACTTTGTTCGCCTTGTTTCGAGTAAATACACATTGTTTACTAGGTTTAAGGTCCCTTTTATCATTACACCTAAATATTTCTCACACTCCGATTTCTCTATGAGTCTATAACATCGTTGTTCATCTGGTCTCTGGTTTCTCTGTTTATATCTCATAGACTAAGTACTTTACGTTGTCCACATTAAATTTCTTCTGCCGTTTCACTGACCATTCGAAATATTTGTTTAGGTCTTCCTGTAGTTTTGCAGAGTCCTCGTCAGATTTAATTATACGTCCTATTTTAGTGTCATTAGCAAATTTACTTATGTTGCTGTCTATGCCTATAACTATGTCGTTTATGTAATAATAAGTAATAATGGTCCAATTACTGAGCCTTGGGGTACTCCACTAGTGACGTTACTCCAATCGGATTTAGTGCCGTTAATGTTTACTCGCTGTTTCTTGTCCTGTAACCACGCCCTAATCCATTATTGAATATCTCCTCCAACGCCATGGGCCTCCACTTTTCGTATTAGTCTTTCGTGGGGACTCTGTCGAAGGCTTTGCTAAAGTCGAGATATACCACATCATAATGGTGCCCCTCGTCCACTGATTCGAAAACAGCTGAAAAGTATGTTAAAAGATTAGTTAGACATGAACGCCCGCTTGTGAAGCCATGTTGGGAGTCATTGATCAACTTGTGCTTCTCCAGGTGATTTCGAATAGAGTTTGAGATTATTGCTTCCAATAATTTACCTACATTTGATGTTAAACCCGTTTTTAGTGATAACAAATTTGCTAAGGGTATACTAAGCTCTTCCTTACATTCCTTTAATACTTTGGCAAATATCTCATCGGGACCTGGTGACTTATTAGGCTTTCGCTTGTCTATTTGCTTACTAACAACGTTACTAGTCACGACTATCTCGCTTAATCAATTTTCTTCGCTATCTCGATAGATGACTAGATAGATAGATAGATAGATAGATAGATAGATGACTAGATGGATGAGTGGATGGTTGGATAGATGATTGGATGGGTGGATGAGAGGTTGGGTCGATGGATAGATGATGATGATGATGATGATGATGATGATGATCCTCTTTCATGTATTCCTTTCATGCACACTACTACAACAGGTGTGCTTTAGCCTGAGTGGGAAGTGATACGTAACACAATGCCGGCTTGCTTCTGTCGTGTGTTCTATGGCAAGGTTATGGAAAGAGGCTTAAGATGGGTGGAAGGAGAACACAGAGAAGAAGGATGAAGAGGGGAAGAGATAAGAGAGATAGAGAGAGGAGTAGAAGCCTTAGGGATGAAGGGAGGGAAGGAGGGATAGAGAAAATGAAGGAAAGGGGGCAGGCAGGGAGAAAAGTATAGAGAGGGTGGGAAGGAAGGAAGGAAAGAGAGGGTGGAAAGGAAGGAAGGAGAGAGAAGGCGATAGGGAGAGAGCTGGAGGAAAGAAAGAAAGGAGAGAGAGAGAGAGAGAGAGAGAGCAGCTCGGAAACAACAAACCTCTCTGTCCATCACCTCGCTGTTGAAATTATCCGTAAAAGTATTCACACTCTTACCTTACGAGACTCAGGTCGTACCTAAATGTTTACCTTACCTGGGGGATACCGTGTTACCTACCCACCTATTCTCCCTCTTCTCTCTTTCTATCTCACTTAATCTCTCTTTTATTCTCTGGTTCTTCTCTCCCTCATCAAGTCTTCATACACTGATCTATAATTTAACAAGATGTCTCCTCTTACATCATGAGCTCCCAGGTCTAATTTATATGATAATTTGAG